CCTCCCTCAAACACTCACACAGGAAACTTCATCAAAAAGTTGGATGTTTCGTAGTTTATTGTAGTTGCTGCTGCTATTAACGTCTTTTTACGGTGGCTGATAGTGTTTTTCCCAGAGGAAGGGTGGATGTGTAGTTGCGGGTTCTGGAGCGATTTCCTGTGCCTTGTATTTCTATAACACCGTCACCATATAAAGCTCCCTTACAGAAAAAAAATTACATTTGAATACTGTACTTTTTGAGATGAGGGCCCGACCGATATGGAAATTTTGTGACTGATACCAAATGTAATAGGCTGAAAAACCTGATAACTGTTCATATCGGGCGATTATAATTTGTATTTTATTTATTTACTGACACCAGGCCTGGGCGATAACGTAATGTACTCATATCAGCAATGATTGACATAAGCTGCTGATGATGATGCTTTAAAGGTGTTCAATAGCATTTACATGTAATGGTCTATTCCTGTTTCTCCCATTGTACCAAAAACATGACTGCAAATTGCGAAATGATGATGAATGGGGATGAACGTAGCCAAATGGCTAAAAATGAAAAGTTAAACTTGCTTCTAATTCTTCATCACTTTTCTGCATCACATTTCCTTAATTTTGGAAAGCAAAAGAATGCATTACATTAAAGATCAAAGAAAGCTTACCTGTATCTTTCTTTGTCTACAGTAAACAGGTTTTGAGATGTAGGATGCTAACATGACAAATCAGTCAATGTTGAAAAAGCTATAAGCTAAAAATTGGTAGGTCTAAGCTTTAAATTTTTTTAACAAAATTGTAAATTATTTTTAGGTATCACCCAGGCCTAACGACACATTGTCAGTTCACATCTGTCTCGCTTCATGAATGTTTTTGAATAATATAAATATCGTAGCAGTGGTGGAGCTACACAGAACTCTGGTTTTAACTTTTTGTTAATTACCTCTTATTTCTCATCAATTTTCTTAACAGATAACGTTTTATTTGTACATTATGGCATTATTCTTATGGTAACTGTCGGGTTTGGATACATTTTCCCAATTAAGTAGCACAGCTGTATTATTGGAAGATAATGAGTTTGGATCTTGGACCATGAAAGTCACAAATTTTTGGTGCATTATTGGCAACATTTTTACTGATACTGATTAAAACCTTAAATTGTTGATATCGGCTGATATTATTGGCTAACCGAAGTATCGGTCGGGCTCTAAATGAGACTAAAAAAGGTGACATTCTGTCGACGCAGCTTCTTTCCTTGGCATTAACAATATAAGTAGATGCAAAACTTTTGCTGCTGCCAGTCAGTAATGTGATTTGACTTTAGTTGACAGGAGTTTGTGTGCATTCATTTGTGGACGACTTTATGAACTGACAGCAGCCTTTTCTCACATAATAGAGTGGCTTGAGTGTCTGGACCCCTTATATTGCTCATTTCCATTTCATTCTTGTTGTCATATAAAAGGAAAAAGTCATCAATATTATAAATAATAAGTCATGTTTTGCTACCTCTGCTATGTATTGATACCTTGTTCAGCATTTAGCTAGCTACAATGTGAATAATATTAGTGCAAAACTATTTATCTCCTCTTTCATTGTAACTTTCGGTCTCTGAAGTGTGCAAGTGGTTGTGTGTGTCGTATGGAAATAATATATCAACAACTAGAGGAATGTTAAGCCACCAAACTACTAAATATACTGTATTCATTGAAGAGCAATTATATTTTAATGAAAAAAAACAGGATCACGGTAAGCCCAGTGGTCTTCTCATGAAGGCCATTTGAGCCGTATGACGAGAATGAATTTTAAAAATCTCATTTATCAGTGACTGTGAGTTTGTGGAAGTTTGTGTGTACCTTCATTCAAAAGCAACAAACACCAGACAAATATTGGATTGGTGGTAGATGTCTGTCAGTTAATCTTGATCGTAATCCAGCCTTAAGTATTTGAAATGGAAAGAGAACATGACACATCTATGAAAACACTTTTCATGTACTTTGAGACACGCCAGTTGTAACACTGCTAAAAGATTGCACTTGATTTGAAAACGGGCATTGCTACTGCGTATACTTCCTTGTGCTGATTAAGTGGAATTTAAATTTTTTTTTTTTTTTGACATTACTGCATTTGCATAACTCAGCGGTTGAGATGTAAACAAATCCAGCATGGTTCAGAGAGGTTTGGTGTAAAATGGTTGATTGTAGAGACTCAGATTGCTTTACAGTGGTGGTGCAAATACATCAATTTTATTTAGAAACCAAAAACTGTCTTCTGAGTTTTCTTGAAAATGATAAAATAGTGGTAAATCTGAGGAAAAAAAAAAAAAACATTTAGGGATTTTTTTTGTGTCAGTGTCCTAAATCTTCCCAGAACTATCATAAAACAATGTCTCAGTGATCAGGCAGTGTATTCATAACCATTTCATGTAATAACTTGCTGTGAGGGAGCTTTTAGAGGTGGATGTCTGGTTCCTATCACCACCACTGTGAACAATTCTGACTCAGTAAGTTTCTCTAGAACAGAGCATTTCACACCAAACCACTCTGAATGACTCTGTTTACATCTTAACCATTTAATTGTGCAGAAAATCAGTTGCATTCCCCCTTTAAAGTCATCTACGTTATGGGTGATGTATCCATGTACAATCTTCAAACTGTTAACAGACCCTCCTTCTCTATAGACCAAGGCTATAAATCAGTCAATCGCCCAAATCTAAATCTCCAGCCTTCGCAGAGCAAGAAAGTCCACCATCGAATTCTGCTGCTTATTTAGGCCACAAGTGGGGATGACTGAATTGACTGAAATTCATAGCAAAACACACTGATGACAACAAAATCAACAAAATGAGATCTTCCAAAAGTGCACTACCATTCAAAATGTTTTTTAATAAAAAAAAAATTTGGTTGCAAATATGTGTACAAAATGCTTTTATGATGCAAACATTTTATAAGTGTCAAACAATTTGTAGAAAATGGGAAAAAAAAGGAGCTGTAGATGATGAGAAAGCAAAAATGAACCTGTCAAATATCTGGAATGCCTGATATTTGAAAAGCAGTGACCAAATCCCACTGATGGAACAGCTATTCATAATAATTCTGTGACAAGAAATGACAAATATAGATGATTACAATTTATTCTTTGATAATATTTGCTTACCCACTTCATAAGTAGTCATTGTTCCCTAATACTTTAAATTATGAATAAACCATCTGTTTACATTCTGGCAGAATAATAATTATTATTATTAACGACTCAACTTTTGAATGGTAGTGTATGTAATGCACTACTCGTGCAGTTATTAGGTGTCTGTATGGAGCTGACGTCCCCTCTTATTAGTGCTTTCTGTACACTCGCAACCTCACAGATTCAACATGACGTTGAGCACTTCAGTAAACGTCCTAGAACCTGTGAGACTTTGAGTCTGGAGATTTTGATTGGGCATTTCGTCAGTTTAGGGAATTTTTCTCATTCAGCCTTGCTGTCAATCACAGAAATCCCTCATAAAGCCCCAGTCTTTGGAAACATCCGGCCTTGTTTATTTCTGTATTGAGCAATTCTGGCAAACAAATAGCCAGACAGAAAATGTTCGGAAAGGGTAAAAGTTGATTTTGAGGAAAAAAATTGTATTATCTAAGCTCTGTTTACCTGACATGAACATTCGGTTTTGTACAATGTATACAGCAGGCAGTGAGTCTTGTTATGAAGTATTGTGGCTACAGAACTGGTTTCAATAAAGAGCTATTGCTTAATACATGTGGTGTTCTTATTGTTGTTTTGTATTATTGGTTTTCTTTGTTACAGCACTTACACATTCTTCTGTATATAGATGTGTATTAATTGTCTATAAAATCAACATCCATTTATTTGAAACAGTATAAAATAAATTTTAAATTGAGCTTATAGCTCATTGAAACGTGGAGAAATTGTGTGGAAAGTGCAGATTCTAAAACATTTGTGTTTGTAGGCAGAAGAGGAGATATTTATGATTTATTTTTTTATGGAAAACAATAACTTTATTAAAAGTCAGCCTCCAAATCCGTCCACACAGAATGTAGAGGGATATTACATCACTGCGTAATCATGTATATTAAGTATGTTTAAATAATCAGCCCAGTGTGAACCAAATGAATAGCAAAATAGTCAATCTAGACCTGTTGATGCTATACACAACTGTGACCTGAACAATTTTAACAATATACATTTTTTTTTATTTTTTTGAGAAACATAAAACTAGCACATGACCCCAGTATGTGATGGTAGTTTTTTTCTGCTTGAGTTTAAACTAAAAATGTGCTTAAAAAAACAAAAAAAGCAACAAATCAGTTGCTTGCACAGACAAGCAATAAAATATTCATTATATTTTTCCCAACAATATTACAATATTCCCAAGCATGTGTAATTCTCATCATGGACAATTTAAAAAGGAGTTCATAATAGTTTTGTGGATCTGCAACTTTTAACACAAAATTCATAACATACAAAAGTAGTTTTTACTAATATGGAAAAGGCTGAGACGTGAATGGAAAACAGACATTAGCACATCAGAAAGCTCCCAACACAAATTACTGCAAGTAATTTTGAACAAACTCTACTGTTAACTATATGTATGAATCCCCATCTTATTAAAATGGTACACAACCACTTTTTGGCTTTTCTAAAAAGTTATTCAGGTGACAAGTTTAATTTCCATTGTATGATTTTAATGCAGCTTTGAGTGACACCCCCCAACTCCACCCCACCACCCCCAAAAACAAAATAAAAACTTGATGCTGAGCACAGACTGCTTTATGGTTTACTCACCTAAAGCTGGCTTTGAATTGTGAAACTTTTATGCAAAGTTTCTCTCTCTATGTGTGTGTGTGTGTGTGTGTATATATATATATATATATATATATATATATATATAATATATATATATATATATATATGTCTTTTAGTTTTTGAAAATCTGAAAGTACCTGTTACCCTTTACATTGTACAGAAATTTCATAATGAATGGACTAGAGCCAAAATGACTTTGCAAAAATTCTGGTTCCACTGACTTACATTACATGTTTTTCTGTTCTCCTGTAAAGTTACCGTTTCGGAGATACAAGGTTTTCTTCTGACAACAGTAATTTTATATATATATATATACACACACATATATATGGTTTACTATAGGGAGAATTTGAATCTAGCAGCCATTTAAGTAACTGTTAGCGTTAGCTGGCACGTTAAACCAGCTGGTTTCAGAAACGTTTAGCTTCAAGAAACTCGTTTATTTGTTGTTGTGGCTCAGGAGGCTCCTTTCAGCTTCCCAGTAAAGTTACAAGTTATCAGTATTTTGATTGGCCATTTCATGAAACTTGTTGCAACTGTTTCAAGAGAGTTGCAGGATCCTTTACATTATGCAACTTAAGTGCAATGTAGTTTCACAAAAATTTCAACTACAGCTGCATGAAACTTTCACTCTGTAAAGCCAGCTTTAGTGTCAGAGACATCCTGTTTGTTATATTTATAAATGTGTCAGAGGTGAAATGAAACTAGAGGGCATATTTCACATTCTGCACATTTACTTTTCCAATAACATTCATTACCTCTTCTAAAAACTTAAAAATGGACCTCTTGGCCAACATTGATCTTGTAGTCAAGGAGGGTAGAATAAGGTCCTTTCAGACTAACCAGGAATGCATGTATTCATACAGGAAATGGAACTACAGTTTTAACATAGCATTTTAGGATTAAAGACAAACCACATTTAGTCAACCATTTGTGTAGGATGCATATTTCCAGATGTTTCTTTTGCTCTTTTGGACATGCTCATATCTTTTTAACACAACAACTTGACACTTTTTTTCCCCCCAAATGTCAAATTTGGTGATGAAAATCAGTTTTCCTCTTGCTTTACCTGCTTGTGAGCTGGGTGATAAAATGAGCTGAGTATTTCAGTGGCCAGAGCCTTCAGGGAAGCCCATGATCTCCCACTGTTGCTGGTAGATGAGAAGCTCTGTGCTCCGATCATCTTTTGGCAGAACGCCTCGTCTCTTTTCCATTACTCACAGTGCTCCCTGCTGCAGCTCTGCTTCCGTTCCCACTGCTTGCTCGCCCGCCCTGCTGCGCGTTAGTGGAGCTGGCAGTTTGAGAATTTACTCCATTTCCATTGGTAGTGTCATTACCTTTAAAGCAGAACAGAACGAACAGTGGTAAGCCAGTAATTACTCTCACAGACTAGACAACACACACTCGCCAATAAACAGAGGAAAAATCAAATGTACTCTGGATTTGGCTCACTAAACTGTAAATCAATACAATGTAATATTGTAATACTTTGGGTTTAAATATAGTACTGATGCATGGAAGCCCAAGAAGCTAAATGTTATTGTTTAATCATTAATATTTTGAATGTATATGAAGTCCACTGAAAGACTAACAGATTATCAAAATGCATTTCTTATTCCACAAGATGGCGATGTTACTATTAGGAATGACAGTATAGTCCAGTAAGCCAGAGTCACACTAGACTTTCGCAGTTTGTGTCACCCTGCGAAATGGGCGTGATTGAGGCTGGCAAGAAAAAAAATCCTCCATGTTGGTGCACATAGCAAGCTAGTTGCCGCACTATTCATCAACAGTATTGATACAAAAGTGAACAAAACTACACATGATTATATACTCATAGCGGTAGTGCTGCACACTGATCTGTAGCAAAATCAAGTGCAGATAACTGGCAAGGTTGGCAGCAGTGGGGTGACTGCAGTTAGCCAAGGAGCCAGCATAGCCATTAGCAAGCTGGCTACCTCACCTACCAGGAGGAGTCACAACACAAAAGTAAGGGTAATAATAATATACAGTCTCCTGACTGACAGTGTATCACACAGTCTCTCTTTTTATATGTTTTTTTATTAGTCAATGAGGAGGAAATATTAGGTTTGTGCTAAAACTACTAAAATTAAGCACTGCTATATGAAGTGCTGCCCCTTCAGAGGTAAAGGCAGTTAAAGCAGTAGCAAAGATGCAAATTTGCCTATCAGAGTTTAATTCAATGCGAAATTGATTTATTTAACGCGTAACCGTTCATCTCGGCTAATTTTACTGAAATTAGTTTCATTTTGCTCCTGAATTTGATGGAAAACATGTGATCTCATAATGAGAATATCTGGGAACAACCCAGAAATTTTGGGCTGAATGTTGGTGGAAATCTAGACATATACAATAGAAACAGTGTAGAAATTTCCACACCAATCCAATGTCTTGTGAAGGTGGAGCTCAAAGTAGGGGGCACTGGTGTGCTTGTCAGCATTGTCTGACAAACAACTAGCCTGTCGTTAGCACATGGATGTAACTTAGCATGGCTGAAAAATCCCCCAAACAAGCATCTAGATGTGAGTCGCGTATGTGGAGAACACACTATATGCAGTAAAAACAAACAATAATTTATACAAGAAGAAAATTCCGTTTGCTAACAATAGCACCTCGTTGGCTAGATATATTTGTGTTATTGATAGTACTCCGGACATAAAAAGATTAATATCCAATTGATGTGAATTTGTTAAATGCCCTTTTTAAATGAAATTAGACAACTAACTGAATTTTAACACTGTTAGGACCAGTGTTTTTGCTAAGCACTGCTTAACACTGTCTTTAAGAAAGTGGAAAAAAAAGAAAGTTTTGTCTTTAAGAAATGTTTTCTAAAGCAGTGTTTTCAGATTCCACAGGTACAATAAAAAGAAAAACTTAACAGCAATACCTGAACCATTACCGCTGCTGTTCATGTTGTTTCCTTGGTCATTGAGCCCCTAATCAATAAGAACAGAGTTACTTACTACAACACATTACATCAAGTCAACTTTAAAAGTAGACTGAAAACAAAGAGAAAATCAAATATACCGTTTTGTTCATTAGTGCCAAATACTCTGGATTAGGCTCACTGAAGTTTGGCACCTCAGAGTACACCATGCAGAACCTAGAAAATCAGTATACACATTGGTTAGTGGATGTGTACATGAGAACAGCATAATTAGTTAGCAATTAAAGAACAACTGCATGTTTCATTAGAAAATGAGCATAATTAGCCCTGGGTTTAGTGTGATGTGAAACGCTGAATAAATATCACTGTTTTTGATGGTATTTTCTAATATGGTGCTGGTGATGCTTTGTTTGTTCCAACTTTATTAAACAAAATAACATGATGTGTATTGAAGTATCACAGTATTATTTTTGCTGTAACACCCACCCCAAGTAAGCCCTAAGGGCTGTCAAAAATAACTGGTTAATAACGCATCAACAGGGTACACTAACACAAATTTTTACACAGTTAAAGCGTTGTATGTTGCTCTGACAGAATCTGTGATTGAAGCACTGTTGTTCAATTACAGCTTATAAATGTCTTTTAAAGTGATACTTTCAGCAGACTACGCTGGACAGTGCTCACGGGAGAACTACGGATAAATCAACAAGCAGCAAACCAGCTAAAGCTCCAGCTTCCCTGGAGAGCCTCCACTAACAAGAATCCACAAGCTGTATGAATGAGAGCGAGAGGCTTCAATCAAGGAGGAGCTGAATCACCTACTATATATGATATATATGAACACATGAAGCTTTCACTGGACATCAGTGATGAAACTGTGTTCACTCATTTTCATGTTCAGGTTCTGCATTCACACAATGGAACAGTAACTGCATTATTAAGTAATCAATACATTCTGATGAAGGTGATTTTGTCCACTCATACAGCTGTAACAACATGCACTGCTATTCAGATGGAAATTTTTTTTCCTTAGGGTCAAATTTGAGCGATTAACTATACAAAATAGTGCGATTAATTACTTCAAACGCTCGACAGCCCTAATAAAATGTTTTTTCTTATGTTGTGCCACAGCAAGTGCGGCCTGAATTTTATCAAAGGCAAATCTTTAGCGAATCAAAATTCAGTACTTACTCTCCAATCTTCTGCAGCTCCCCTCCTCTCCCGGTATACAGAGTGAGACAGCCTTTGAAAACTGAAGCATACCTGAAAATGAAACATAAAAATAGACTAGCAGAGTAACACTAAAAGCTCAATTAGATTTACACGTTAGTATAAGTCAACTGTATCCAAAGTCAGAGTTATAACTGCAGCGCAGACAATACATTAACAAAGCAAAAAAAAGGACAGATGCAGTAACTTAAGAGGACAAACTGTGGAAATATATTTTCACGTAATTTAAAAACGTCAGCTGCCCTTTACATTGTGTTAAAATCTCATGGTGAATGGGCCAACAGGAATACTCCACAATTACTTGTTCCATTAACTTCCATTCAAAGTTAAGAACACTTTTTCCTTCTTACATTTTGTCATTTCTTGACATCAAAACGAACACTTAAACAAAAAAAGCAGGTCTGAATCTGTCTATACAGAATATAAAACAAATGTAAATGTAATTCAATTCAACTTAAAGGGGAATTCCACCAAACGTTTGTCATAGTTAAATGGTTAAGATGTAAACAGAGTAATTCAGAGTGGTTTGATGTGAAATACTCTATTCTGGAGAAACTTCTGAGTCAGAATTGTTCACAGTGGTGGTGATAAGAACCAGACATCCACCTCTAAAAGCTCCCTCACAGAAAGTTATTACATGAAATGTTTTGGCCTAAAAAATCTGTTCATGGTGGACATGTACATACAAGGCACTGTGAGGCAAAACATTCCCCAATGAAAACTTATTATTTCAGATTTACCACTATTTTACCATCATCTACATTCCATATAAAACTAGAGACATGTAGGTTCACTGGTGGTTTTGGGTATTAAATAAAATGGATATATTTGTGCTGTAGTCACTGCAAAGTGAGAATCACCCTGTCATCACCACTGTAAAGAAAGAGTCTTTATAATGAACTATTTCACATCAAACCACTCTGAATGACTTTATTTACATCTGAACAATTGAATTATGGAGAAATTTTGAAAAAATGGCAGAATTCTCCTCTCCTTTATTTTGGCTTCACGTACTTTGTACTTCTTTTTATATATCTGTTTTACTATTTTTGAGCCAGTGTCTATTTATTTATTTATTTATTTATTTTTACTAATTTTCAATTTGTCATTATTTTTCCTTTTGATGTTCCTTGGTTTTTATTTAATTAAATGTTCTATTTAAATGAACTAGCCTTGCCTATTCCCTCCTTTATATTTCAATAGTGTAGATGATAAATGTACTTTTGGGGCTGCATCTAACATTGACATTTTGTTACATACTACTAATACTTATACTTCCTTCTGAATTTCCCTATTTAATTGAGTTGTTTTTACACAGGACAGATGTATTTAAACTTTCAGAATATACAGTATAGTTGTGATGTGTAGACCTCTTGGACTGAATACAGCACACTTTCAATTATGTGAAATGACTCCACCTTAAAAAAAAGTCTCACCCTTTGGTAAGCCTGATGATGTCACCGGTCTGGATGAGTCCTCCTACCTCGTCCCACACTGATATGCTGATGCTGCCTGTCTTGTCAGCCACCTTGCAGGTGCGCACCTCGTGCCCATCTTTGGTTTTCGTGACCCTTCCTTGAAAAAAAAAAAAGAATCGAGAGAGACCGCATCAGGCAAAAAAATTAATTCGCTTTCATCTCTAATGACCAGATATGTGTTGTGTAAGCACCGCCGACTGAAAGGAGATTAATTTTCTGATATTACTTTGATTCACCTTACTCTCCTGATTGAAAACGCAGCTGAAAAACAAAAGGTCACAGTGTAATCTATTTAATAGGACTCTAACAATGACCTCATACTAGCTGATGCGAGAGCTGACCTCACATACACTCTTGTGGTGAGTGCAATCAAGTCCTCACAGCAATGTTCCAACATCTAATGTAAAGCCTTCATAGACACTTAAAGAGAGGGTTCTTTAGTAAAGGCTGTGGTTCTATTTAGAACCATTTCATGCTTAAATGATAGTTTGCATGGAGAATGTGTTTTATATGATTGTATATAGAACCTTTTTGAAAATAGTTTTATACAACACCAAAAAGGCTTGTAACAACAGAAGAACCCTTTTTAGGGCTATACAGAACCAAATACAACACATTCTCCATCAGTCTGAAAAACCATTTAAGCATTAAATGGTTTTACAGTTCTAAATACACTAAAGAACCCATGGAGAACCATCTTTTATAAGTGTGCAGAAGAGTAAAGGGTGTTACTGCAGCAAAGGGGGACCAACTGTCTATTTATCAATACCCTTCATTTCAGAAGAAACAGCAGAACTTTAGTACACAGTCTAACAGTTAGGTTCTCAATCTCTTAAACAGGAGTATAGGTTGTGGACACCTGTTTCCAGCACGATAAAGATGACATTTAAGTTCTTAAGTCCTGGCTTGATGTCCTTGACGAATGTCTCCGTCGTCATGTCTTCTTACTTTAGTGTATTATGAATCTACAGTAGTTTGAATGTGACTGTTCATTCAGATCCAGACGCTCTTAGCTGGAGGAGATATCTGCACAACTTGGGCACAACATGGCCAGCTGTTCTTCACTGGACATTTGAGCTCGTCTTCTTTGACCACCTGGATATTAACTCAGACTTTCCTGGTTAAGCAGACTGGTGTAACTTATTCCACAGTCCAAAAGGCTTGTACTAACTCTGACTTCTAAAAAACAGTGTTGTTTAGCAGCTAGGCTAGGTTAACTGAGCTAACTTGACGCAAACGACAGGATTAGCTAGCGCACTAACCAACACTTGTCGACTTCATATACCGACTCTGCGCACTAACTTAACACTTTCCCAACAACGCCTGACCTGTTACCACTCAAAATGGTCAGTTCTTTTGACGCTAGCTGAAAGCTTTGCTGCTCAAGACATTATGAACTAGCCTAGATAGCCTGTTGTGCTAACTGTCTCCTGCTGAACGCTGCTTAGCTGTTGTTTTTCCGCAAACGATGACGTAAGCAAGCTGCTTTCACATGTGGACAAGGTCTTAAAGGAAAACTTCACCGATTTTTCGAGAATTCTTCATAATGGAATGTTTGAGATATACACAAAGTCATTCAGAGTGGTTTGGTGTGAAATGCTCTGTTCTAGAGAAACTAACCGAGTCAGAATTGGTCACAATGGTGGTGATAGGAACCAGACGTCCACCTCTAAAAGCTCCCTCACAGCAAGTTATTACATGAAATGGTTATGAATACACTATCTGATGTCTGAGACAAATAGTTTTGTGATAAAGTTCTGGCTTAAAAGGAATTTTAATCCATTCATAGAGGAGGGGTACAGGCAGGGCGTTGTGAGGCAAAATAGTCCCCAAAGAAAACTTTTTTTAGATTTTTAACTCTCTTATCATCATTAACATTCCATATAAAACTCATAAGACACGTGTAGGTTCACTGGTGGTTTTGGGATAGTAAATAAAATGGCTATATTTGTGTTGTAGTCATGGTTCTTTACAATAGTGGTGAGTGGAGCCAGGGAAATACAACTAAAACAATGTCTGAATGACTTTGTTTACCCTGTAAGCAAAAATTTCAGTGGACTTTCCCTTTAAGAAAAGCGCGCCAAAATAGTTTAGCGATTGTTATAACCGAGACATGGTAAAACACACATATGATTGTTCTGGATATATTATAATTGAAACTGTGTGAAACAGACAGTTTGCATTTATAAATAATGTGATGAACAAGATAAGTTATTTTATATTTTTCCAAATGTAGTTATGTTATTATAATAAACAGGCTGCATCATATGTAGCATGTTAAGGCATTATGTGCTTAATATTGAATTCCATCTGATATTTATTTTATACTCATATATTTAATCTTTTTCATTTAATTCTGTGTTTTAAAGAAACAGTCCCGACAGGAAACAGGTAAAGGTCTGCTTGAGCCCACATAATAATTCTCCTGATGTAAACTATGATTCTTTTGACCTTCAAGACCAGCTCAGTAGCCTGTTAGTTTCTAATACAATAAACCAAATGTAGAGAAGGCTTGTAAAAAAAGGGGGATGAAAGTAAATTGTAGGCTTTTGGTGAGGTCAAAAAGAAAACTACAAATCCCAAGAAAGGACCCAAAAATGCTTGTTTAGAGTTTTTTTCAGAAATATTAAGAAAATATTCTTAGGTGTATGAAACCCTGTAAGCTTATCTGAAACCATAGTAAGAGCAGAACTGGCTGTTTCACCTGCCAAATGTTCAAACTTAATCTTTTTAATGGATCAGACCAGATTACCGAAGTCAATTACATTTATGGCTTCATTTTTGATACACTTCCTTCATACACTGTATTTTCCTTTAGTTTAGGAAACTTTCACACAGAGCTCAAACCAGCCTCACTGATTTTCTCTCTACAATGGAGGAATGCAAAAACAACATACATGAAAGTCCCCAAAGTGGAGTTTCAGGATAATGTGCCTCTGAGTCTCTGAATTCAATCCCCAAATCAAGTCCCCCAATCATTTTCTTGAATCAGATTTATAAATCAAGTCCATGAATCAAGTCTCTGAGTCAACTCCTCGAATCAAATTCAGGAATCAAGTCTCCGAGTGATGTGTTCGAAATAAATCCCAGAGTCAAGTCCCCAAACCAAGTCCCTGAATCAAGTCCCTGAATAACGTCCCCAAGATGAGTCTTAGAATAACGTCCCCAAATCAAATTCCCAAGTTTTGGTCCCGAATCAAATCCCTGAATTAAATCCTTGAATAACGTGCCCAAATCATGTTCTTGAATCAAATTCCCAAATCATGTCCATGAATTAAGTCTCTGAATCAACTCCCAAATCAAATTCAGAAGTCATGCCCCTGAGTTATGTCCCCAAAATAAATCCCAAAGTCCCAAGTCCATGAATCAAGACCTCAAATCAATTCCACAAATCAAGTCCATGAATCAAGTCTCTGAATAAAATCCCTGAATCAAGTCCCTGAATCAAATATCCGAGTTGAGTCTCAGAATTAAATCTGTGAATCAAGTCCCCAATATCAAATTCCCAAATCATGTCTTGAAATCAAGTCTCAGAATCAATGCCACAAATCAAATCCATGACCAAGTCTTTAAATTAAATTCCCTGAAGACCCTGAATCAAGTACCTGAGTAACGTCCTCGAGTCAAGTCCTGTAATGGTGAGGAATAATACTGGATAAAATGAGGGGCAGGTGTTAGAACATTTTTGAATGACCATAGTTTAAATTATACAATTGATGCTAGCTAAAAAATATTCTTGGTCTGTCACACATATAACACACTGAACAGACCAGACGTATAACACACTGAACAGACCAGACATATAACACACTGAACAGACCAGACAATCACACGGACTGTTAACAAGTGTTTAACTAAGAGACAAATAAAATAAGAATATAATACATAGAGTAAATAATGATAAAGAATAATAAAGAACCAATGAGAACAGAGCTAAAGGGATGTGGAATATCTGTACATATGCAGATGTGAATGTCTATACAAATGTTGGTCTAAGAAGAAAAATAAAATAATATAATATAATACAATGTAATATAATATAGTATAATAACCGTTATATACAGTATATCAAAGGATGATATGAATATTTGTAAAAATTAACATTTGTACAGCTGTGCAAATAAGCATTATGGCACAGATTATAGTTATACTGTAATACAGTAAGAAGGTTTGTTAAGTACAGTTTAAGATGACTGGATCTTTCCTTGAGCATCTGCGGTGGATCACGAGTGCTGTAAGTGTGTGAGGTCTGCTCAACAGTCTACTCCACTGGAATGTTCTCCCAGGTTAGGTTAATGCTGAGCAATACTGATAATTTTCAATATCACTACATTTTCCAAATATATCCCACTGTCTGACAATGTTTAAAGGGGAATTCCGCTAATTTATCAAAATTTTTGCTTAAAGGGTTAAGATGTAAACAGAGTCATTCAGAGTGGTTTGGTGTGAAATGCTTTGTTCTAAAGAAACTTATCGAGTCAGAATTGTTCACAGTGGCGGTGATAGGAACCAGACATCCACCTCTAAAAGCTCCCTCACATATGCTGTCTGATGTCTGAGACACTGTTTTATATTTGAGATTTGAGAAAGTTTTGAATGTCTGGAGCATATCGAAAGTAAAAGCTTGGCACATTCAGGCTTTCTTTCTTAACCAGGCAAGTCTGTGTGTTCTGTACTGGTTTGTATACTCTTCATAGTAACTGTATGTTATTATGGTTAATACCACATGGTCCTCTATTGTGCTTTTCATTTACATTTCTATTGCTTTTTATTGTCTCAGATATGTTCAAAAACTTGCAATCAGGGCATGAAAACCTGCACAGATTTCTGCATCATGTTCCTTGTTTTGCTTGGTCATTTCCCAACAACCCATTACAGCAACCTACTAATCTCTGTGGTAATCCTGAGCATTGGCTGCGTTCCACAAGAAAACAGTGTGCAACGTTTCGCTGTTGAACTGTGTGTTTCCACTGCACAGGTCTGTCACGAATGCTGCATAAGACTCTTATAGGCCTAAGAAGTCCATATCAAAACACTTGATGAGCATGGAAGTCCATGAAAGTAAGCTAAGTGCATTCATTTAAAAAAGATGGTTTTCCAAGGGTTTTTAGTCTGTTTAGAACCATGAGTTCTACATTAAACCATTTAATGCCTAAATAGTTCTCTACATGGTGAAATGATTCTTCAGATTAATGGAGAATGTGTTGTATATGTGTATTATTCTAAATAGAATCATGAACACTCAAAGAACGATTTGCATTATTAAATGGTTCTCTGCATGGTAAAATAGTTCTTTACATCTATGGAGAATGTGTTGTATATAGTTCTATATAGAACCTTTTTGAAAATGGTTCTATATAGCACCAAAAAAGGATTCTTGTATTGTTATAGACATGATGTCGAAACAATAGCAGATCCTTTATTGGTGCTATAGAACCCTTTTCAGAAAGGTTCTATATAGAACCATCTAGAGCATTCTGCAAGAACGCTTGCAGGGTTCTTTGAGTGTTTAAGGTTCTACATAGAACCATTTGCTTTACTAAAAAATCAATGAGGAACCAGCTTTTTAAGTGTGTAGTAACAATAGCAGAACCCATTTTGGTGCTATATTGAACCATTTTCTAAAAGGTTACTTGTAGAACCATATGCAACACATTCTGCATCAATCTGAAGAACATTGCAAAGGACCATTTAAGCATGAAATGATTCTATATAGAACTCATGGTTCTAAACAGAATCATTCCCTTTACTAAAGAACCCTTAAAGAACCATCTTTTTAAGAGTGTAGCCTATAGTACTCCCACTTAATAATTGGCCACACTACGTAAATATCAAAGATATCGATTACTGTGTCAGTATTTGGTTTTGTAAGAGTGTAATTGTGCAACAGAATTGATTGCAGGTTTAACTGACCCGTGCACATAGTCATTTTGCAGCGCAGCGCTTGCTGCATGGAAACAGTTTGGAATGTTGCACTCACAGTGAACACACCTTTGAATAACATTTAATCCTGAGAGAACTAATCCCCCCATTCACTTCACCAGACAGCACTTGGCCAGCATTGAGGTAAGACCATTTCAAACTGGAGTTGTTCATTATTTTTCAGAGGAGGGGATGGGCAAAGGCAATCAGGTGATTTTCATTCATCCTTGCTAGCTGCTATATTAAAAGCAAACAGCCAGTTTAAAGGGGAACTCCACCAATTTTTCAAAAAATCTACATAGTTAAGTGATTGAGATGTTAACAGAGTCATTCAGAGTGGTTTGGTGTGAAATGCTCTGTTCTAGAGAAACTTACCGAGTCAGAATTGTTCACAGTGGTAGTAATAGGAAACAGACTTCCACCTCTAAAAGCTCCCTCACAGAAAGTTATAACATGAAATGGTTATGAATACACAGCCTACATTGTTTTATGATAATTTGTGATAAGGTTTTGTCTTAAAATGTGTTCTAATCCGTATATTTTAAACTATTCATGGTGGAGGGATACATGCAGGGCGTTGTGATAGTTCCCAAAGAAAACATATTTTTTTCAGATTTCTAACCATTTTACCATCATTCCATATAAAAGCTCAGAAGACGTGTAGGTTCACTGGTAAATAAAATATCTAAATTTGTGTTGTAGTCAACCAGGCGACCCCTGGTTCCTATCAGCACCACTGTAAAGAAATCAGAACCATTTCACACCAAACCACTCTGAATCACTCTGTTTACATCTCAAACACTGAATTATTCAGATATTTTGAAAAATTGGTGGATTTCCCCTTTAAATTAACCTGTAGTTAGTTTTCCTCTCTGTAAACTGCACTCACAGGAATGTAGTTTTAAATGGACACAAATAGGATTTTTTTTTGTTGTTTATTTTGGGCTTGTTGAGAAGTCTATTTAGACATACATGTCAGTTAGCACCCAGTGCAGAGTATGAATGTGCAGAATGGGGAAGGTATGTTTGATGCCTGTCAGAATAAAGAGCAAATCCTGCTTGATTTTGATTGCTTCAGTTTTTTTTTTTCCTTTTTAACAGTGACATTTAACATATAATCTTATGTAATACTCCATGTTAATGTATGTGTAATCCTACTGGCATAAATCAAAGCCAGAGAACAGAGTGTTGCCTTTCTGTGGCTAATGCATCGTCACTCCTAACAGTATAGTCATTTTTTCCACATTTTTAACGTGTTACATTTTAAAATACATCACAAAAACAAATAAAGTGAATTAGCAGTTGTTTAATGTGTCAGATGTGTCAGTGTCAATAACGTTCTGCGAGGGAGCTTTTTCTGGGGCATTATACTCTTCAGACGTCTGGTTCCCATCACTGCCACTGTGAAGAGTTTCGTTAGAACGGAGCATTTTACACTAAACCACTTTGAATGACTTTGTTTAGAGAAATCTGTGGAACTCACTTCTAAGTTGTTTCTTGATTTGATCATTTAGCATTGTTTTCCATGCAATTACTGTAATTTAAGCCTTATCATGTTCAACTACAAGGAATAATTTGTTTATATATTTTACAAAAGCATCTTTTGTTTTTTCTATGTAGGTCCACAGAATTTGAGTTTAGAGAAAAAAAACAGTGTGTGCAGGTTTGCCTCTCTGCCCACAGCCAGGGTGTGAACGACCTGTGACAAATGGCCTCCGTATCTGTAGCAGATCCCAGTGGACTGAGTCCAGTCGACTTCATCCAGCTGCAGGAATATATGGAATGTAAGTCTTTATTATAATCTGGACCAAAGATCGTATAACCAATGAGATCAATCATTCATTCTTTCAGTGGCTCATTTATTGATTGCTTGTTTAAAGGGCCCATATCCTTCATTTTTCTTGTACTTTATTTGTTTCCCTCTGAGGTTCACTGATAACATTTGTTATAATTTATTTTTACTTGACCAGTTTGTGTACCTTAGAATTAAACAGGCTGCTTTTTGTTACTGTGTCTTCAAGACTAATCTCCACTACATAGACAGTAGTATTGGGACACATCTCCTAATTATTGAGTCCAGGTGTTTCAGCCACACCCATTGCTAACAGGTGGATAAAATTAAGCACATGGCCCTGCAGGTTCCATAGAGACACACTGCCAGTAGAATGGGTCGTACTGATGAGCTCAGTGACTTTAAAGATGGGTGGTGTAAAGCAGTGGAACTCCGGAGCAGTGGAAACATATTCTGTGGAGTGACTAATCACGCTTCTCTCTCTGTCAGTCTGATGGACGAGTCTGGGTTTGGTGAATGCCAGGTGAATGTTACCTGCCTAACTGCATTGTGCCAACTGTAAAGTTTGGTGGAGGAGGGATAATGCTATGGGGTTGTTTTTCAGGGGTTGTCCTAGACCCCTTAGCTCTAGTGAAGGGAAATCTTAATGCATCAAACACCTTTGGGATGAACTAGAACGGGGATTATGAGCCAGACCCTCTCGTCTAACATCAGTGTCTGACCTCAAAAACGTTCTTCTGGATGAATGGGCAAAAATTCCCACAGACACTCTCCAAAATCTTGTAGAAAGCTTCCCAGAAGAGTGGAAGCTGTTATAGCTACAAAGGGGCACCAACTCCATATTAATGCCTATGGATTTAGAATGGGATGCCATAAAAGCACTAGTAGCTGTAATATGTAGGTGTCCCAATACTTTGTCCATGTAGTGTATGTTCTGTTCTGTTGTGCCTCAAAAGCACTCAGAGGTGAAACACTGCTTATAACTTCAGTGCAAGTAGGTGGGGTGAAACTGCTGTAGTCTGAGTAGATGGATATCTGTAAATAAGCTGGTTCCTGTGACATCACAGAAACGGCGAATTCAAAACAGGCTGTTTTTGCAGCTTAGTTTACATACATGGACTGTACAGACTGGGGAGTGAAACTTTCATGCTCCTTTAAGCTTCTTTATTTCCAAAAATGCAGGAGAAATTCAGTCTTTCTTGATAATGATACTTTAATTAATTAATTAATCAATCAGATCAGAATTCTTAATTATTTTTTTCCACAGTATCACAGTTTGAGGAGATGTGATGTCATGGAAGCGTTTGTATTTTACATGTTGCCGCACTCTGTTGACTTTCAGACAGCAGTATGAAGGTGAAAGATGTGATGAAAGACTTTAATGCTGGTGGAAAGCTGGTCCATCACAGGTTTGGGGAGGTAAGGCTGACAGTTACATCTCACTGTATGTTCATCTCAGACAAATGGCTCTAATGAATATGATGAGCACTCTGGATTCTAATTAAAGCACCAAACATTAAAGGGGAATTACACGATTCAGCATAATTCAATTGCTGAGATCCCATATAGAAAATAATATATTCCAAATGTATTTATCAAATATGTTTTTGCAATAAATTAAAGTGTCAGGAGCATCAGGCAGTGTATTCGTAACCATTTCATGTTATAACTTTCTGTAAGGAAGCTTTTAGAGGTGGACGTCTGGTTCCTATCACCAGCACTGTGAACAATTCTGACTCTAAAATGGAGCATTTTACACCAAACCACTCTGAATGACTTCTTCACCCACTTCTCTTAGAACACTTCTAGTTATATTCTTGAACCACCTGACATGCACAGCATGTTTAATATATACCGATAGATCAGGTCAGGTGACTGCGAGGGCCATTCCAGAAGCCTCAGCTTGAATTTCTTAAAGTATTTTATGATGGATTGCGAGGTGTTGTGCATGTTTTGGATCATTGTCATGTTGTAGAGGCCTCTTTACAGCTTTAGTTTTTTGACTGTCTGTGTCACATTTACTTCCAGAGTTTGCTGATATTTAGTGGAATCTATTCTCCCATCTATCCATGCTGTTTCCTGTGCTACTGGCTGCCACACAACCCCTACCTAATCATAATAAACCCATCCTCATGCTTAACAGTCAGCACGGTGTTCTTTTCATCAAATACTAAATAATTCCTTTTTTCTCCAAACATACCTTTGTTGATTGTAGCCCAGGAACTTTATTTTTTTACTTCCTCCTACTGCCGCACTTGTTTCCAAAATGGTTTTTGTTGATTTAGAAACTGTTTTGAAAACTTCAGACATTAGCTTTTGTGATGAGGTTGCAGGTAAGCTTTCCTAATAAGTCAATTAAAGCCTAACAAGTTGCCTCAATTAATATTTATTTTTTTCTTTTATTTAAGCTTATCAAATATAAAGTAACTATAAACATTAACATTTTGCTCTATTTTTTAAATTATTTTGCTGTATATGCTGTGTTTACTTTTTTAGTAAACACAAAAATGTTTATTTTATTATTAATAATGATTTTATTATATGAATTGAATACTTACTGAATAATTAGTTCAGTACTTCAAATGAACTTGCAGTGGTTTCTGAATGTGGCTTTAAGGAGCTGTGTTGTTAGGCACTTTGGATGAATCCCCTTTAAGCTAAAGCATGGTAGCAACCAAGCTAACTTAACTAGATACATTAAACTACACCAAGAGCATTACTTTGTTCATAAAGCATGTGATTCAAACATTATTTGTACTCTAACTATGTTAAAAGGCAGCACAGTAGGGCACAAACTCAGAAATGTACTTTTAGTACATCAGATTACAGCAAAAATAAAGGCAATTTTTGATTATTAGCAGTTTCAATCTCAAAGGAACTTGAACACAAACATATAAGGTTCCAGCGTATGCATATAAATCTACATTTTTGTATTTTTTTTTGCTGACATTTCTGCTTGCTTATGTACAAAAATACAGTCATATTTTCATTCATTTTCCAAACTCTCTTCATCCCTTAGAATTAAACCGGCTATTTTTGTTGCTCTGCCTTTAAAACTATTATATCGCTGTTGTTGGAAGAAAATCTTGTATCTCCATTTTTGGCGTTTTTCAGTTTTTGACATAATTTGAAAATGTCTGTTGTCCTTTACATTGTATGTAAATTTCATGAATGTACTAAAATAAATGACCCAAAATGACCTGGAAAAAAGTCTGGTTCCATTGACTAATATTAAATGTAAAGTAGGTTTTTTTCTTCTCCGGTAAAGTTACCATTTTGGAGATACAAGATTTTCTTCCGAAAACAGCGATATGTAAATTCGCTGAAACGCTCCTTACAACTTCAGTGCTAATCAAAATCATAATCAGAATCTGATTCAGTTTTATCAACCAAGTGTGATTGCACACACAAAGAATTTGTCTCCGGGTTACAGCGCTCATAAACAGTTCAGTTGCCATTATACAGTGCTTAACGACACATAACAACAAGACAGCAGCCATGATTTGCAACTAACACACAATTACAAGAAAGACCAAAAAGATTGAACAGTTAATTATTGCCTAAGAACCAAAATATTACATAATATTACATAAGTAATATTGAACAGATAAGGAGTATGTAGTGTTTGGGGTGTTTAGGCAGATGACTTGTGTGAGTATTCATTCAATAACTAGCGGAAGGAAACTGTTCTTGTGCCTGGATGTTTTGGCAGCAGGTGTTCTGTAGTGCCTGCCAGATGGGGGTAGTTCAAACAGATCCCTTGGTGTGAACAGAGCCCTGGGTGTGAAGTGTCCTCAGTAATTTTCCCTGCCCTTTTCCTGACACGGGAAGAGTAAAGGTCCTGGAGGGAGGGCAGATTGCTGCCAAGATCCATTCTGCAGAAAGTCCACCGTCATAATGGGCAGGGCTAAACCGTTGTAGGCGGAATAATATATATATATATATGATATATATATATATATAATCATCTAAATAATATATCTAAATGTGTCAAAAATGTGTTAAAGTTATATGGTTGTTAACATTCATACATATCAAGATGCAAAAACAGTTTTTGCTGTTTTGTGATGTCACAAAAACTGTTTTTGCATCTTGATATGTATGAATGTTAACAACCATATAACTTTAACATTTCAAAAAAGTGAATGAAATTCAGTTTTGCATGATACGGGCCCTTCAACTGAAAGGACATTGCTGTGTTATATTGTCCTCATTTAAAGGAAAATTAAAAATATGATGAAGTGTTAGCTTTACAGTAAAAGTTCTGGAGATAATCTAGGCTCAGTCCAGACAGTCCTGTGTTTGGTTATTATGTGTGCAGCACTTTTCCCCTCTCTTCTCCTGTAGTGCAGGATTAGATGCTGAGGCAGATTAACATGTCATTAAAAAAATTACAATGCTCTTTTAGTTTTTGTTCACACTGGGGCTGAAACAAATGATTTAGACATGCGAATGATGTCAGTTAGATACAAAATGTTACAGAAATGAATGGATAAGTTTGAAAAACCATTCTCCACTTTCACTTCTCTCCTCTTTAGCGTATTGATGTGGAGGGATTCTCTCTGTTTCTCAAGACCTACCTAGAAGTGGACGATTTCCCGGCTGACCTCTCCCAGCGTCTATATCAGTATTTTCAAAGTTCTGAACAGCATGTTCCTGATCGGAGTGCCCACCCCAAAGACGGTTAGTCATTTAGAACTGATATGTCAGAGTCAGAGACCACCCTTCATTTATTTTTCCAGTCAAAACAGCCATGTTTTATATTAGACTATATTTGGCAGCATACCACTGAATTAGTTCAATCTGTGGTCCCATTTCAAATAGCAAACAAAGTTACTCAAAAAAACAATTAATTATTCAGATTTTAGATATTTACAGAGATTATATTATGATCTATTTAAACCCAGGGCATTAATGGAGATAATTGTATCTCCATTTTTGTTTTTTAGTTTTTGATATGACTTGAAAATGCCTGTTGCCCTTTACCTTGTGTGAAAATTTCACGATGAATGAACCAAAAGAAACGGCCCAAAATTACTTGGAGAAAAGTCTTGTTCCACTGACTTACAGCACAGATCTACATTAAAAGTAAAGTATGTTTTTTCCTTTTCCTGTAAATGTATGATTTCGGAGATACAAGGTTCTGCTCCAGCGGCGATATACACAAACATCATTTATAGGGTACTTTCTATTGGGAAGTGTCTGTCTCAAACCCTAAACCCCAAATTCACACTTGTGGAAAATAATGCTTATTATTTTATTTAATTTTTTTCAATGTTTTTTTTAAAAGATCTCTTATTATAAAAGTGAAGTTGAAATATTTTGATTTACAGTTATTTATTTATTATTTACAGTGTTTTTTATTTTTCATTTAAAAAATGCTGTCCCACATTTTCATTTCACTACCAAAATGCAAAGTTTTAGTCTGTAGGAGACTGCATTCCTGTCCCTTGTGGCCACATGGTGAGCAGTTTGATCCCATTGTTTTGAAGTAAATGTGTCCCAAAGTCTGAAAATCAGTGTGGAACATTAAGAATTGTCACTAATGAAACATTTTTTTGTGTTTTAATGAAAATATGATGATTTTATGTGTGTAGAGCTGTTCAAAGCTGTGTTTGCTAGTCATACTGGCTGCGTTTTTGAACTCAAAATGAACTAAAAATTCACTACCAAAACAGTCCATACTGAAACATTTGGTAAAGTTTGGCCAGTGTTATGATTGTTTTGGTTGTGACAGAAAGGAATTTTCAATCATTTACTTTAATAAAATAAACATAATTTAGGTATAGGGTCACTCCAAAGTCCAAAATCAGTTGAAAGTCCCAAATGTGTTTTTAACTCTGACTTTGAACCAGTTTGAAAGAATGATTCATGTCAGACACACCTGTGTTTACCTGTCATACCTTTCATGCTTTGAAATGCACCGATATTATTTCATTAATCAAATTCCATTCATTTGTCCTCATTTGAATCTTTTTTCTGTTACAGGTGGCGTCTGCATCAAAGCTGTATCATGTTACTTCTCTGTGCTGGAGGATGGAAAACCACGTGACAAGCTTGAGTGTAAGAAACTGACGATGAGATTTAAAGGGCCCCTATACCAGAAAAAATTTTTTTCCTCATCTGTTTGAGATGAGTTTGATTTGGTTTATATATCTCTGCCATTTCAGCCCAGATCAGTTTAGCCCTGCTCACCTACCCTAAAGTTTTAAGGAGTATTTCAGCCCAGACTACTTTTTGAAAGAAGGCAACCAATCAGCACAGAGCTCATTTACATATATTTGTCTTAAAGGCACAGTAACAAAGATGCCTGTTTAAGTCTAACAGGTAAGGAGAGATGGTCATGTAAAAACTTTTTTTGGTGCATAAAACTACAAAAATGTTACTGAATTTGAGGGAGGAAAACAAAATACAACAAAAAAGTGGTATATGGGCCCTATAATCTCATCTGCAGGGCAGTGTTAACACCACTTGACATAGTGCATCATATACTGAACACAGTTTATAAAATCAATGCTGTGTCACTGTAGGCCAGTGTACATTTTTTCTACCCTTCCTTTTAAATGCGTCTAATTTGAAAAAGTCATTGTAATTTTATTAATCATTTGACCAAAGTGCATTCATAAGATGCTCTTGTGTGTGATATTCCCAGAAAATGTGCTCATACGGAGAAAGAAAGACCCCCCCCAAGTTGGCATTGCACTTGCCTAGCCGGAGTCATTCAGAGTGTTTGGTGTGAAATGCTCCGTTCTAGAGAAACGAAATGTGTTCACAGTTGTGGTGATAGGAACCAGACGTCCACCTCTAAAAGCTCCCTCACAGAAAGTTATTACATGAAATGGTAATGAATACATTTTAGCCTAAAACATATTTTTTATTTATAGTCATGATGGAGAGGTACATAAAGGACAAAACAGTAAAATATATATTTTTTTAGATTTATTACTATTTTAACATCATCAAGGACTCTTTGGGTTTTTCGGTTTACAGTTAGGCCTTAATGTGTGAATTAATGTGTAATTAAATGCTAACTGTAGCAGCAGTGCTGGATTTTAGTGCTGGATTGTTGTACACAACTATCTTTGCTCCTTTCAGTCATAATCATCATATATGTAGCTAAATGACGTATCTGGTGATTTTCTCCTGCATTTTTGCATGATGGCTACAGACGATAGACAGAAGCAGTGGACATCTAAGTGAATGTGAATTAGAGTGCTGACCCACTGAAGGGCCACCCTGAATGACCCAGTGACTGGCTGTGACAACATTGATCAGATAGGTCATCAATATTGCTTTTAACACCATGTTAGCCTCGTTTAATCTATTGACCCTGCCCACATGTCCAATAACACAAAACAGTACTCGGTCAGTGCTTATTTAACATCCTGAAATACACAAAGTCCCATGAACAAATACCTCAGACCTTACATAGGCCTAGTGTTATATTTTAATAATTAGTGGAAAATGTATAATTCTAAGGTTCTGAAATGCACCTAGGCCCCAGGGCAGAGGTCAGTTTATTTATTCAACTAGTTGGAAATGAATAGACCAATAATAACAAAATCATTTGGAATATAAATTTTCCCATTAACCTACATTAAAAATAAGGAAAAACACATTAAGCCACAGCTTGGTACTCAGGTTAGAAAACACAGAGACTTCACAAACTCTAAACCAAACAAAAGAGTTTATATGAGGCTGTTAACGAGTCCAGGATCATTTGCAGGTGAGAGTCCAAGTAGAGTCTCCAAGGTGGGGGAAGACCACATGACACATGATTAATGTCTAAATAACATTGAATCATCATTATCATAAGTCAATCTTGATAGCAATTTTAAAATGACATTTGGTTATCTCCCATAAATAAGTCACAAAATCATCAATAAATCAGCAAGGCTATAAGTTTGAAAATTACACCACTCGATAAATAACTTTTTGGCAAAAATATTATTTCTTGGAATAGCAGTTTATCATTTGCTATTTTAAGAGATTATTCAACATCTTCGTTAAATAAATATATACTTAGTTAAATCTGTTTATATATAAAAGGACCCTTATTTTGGAATTTCCTATCTTTTTAAAAATTAAAGTGTTATATATCGCTGCTGTCGGAACAAAACCTCGAATCTCCATTTCTGTCATTTTTCAGTTTTCGACATAATTTGAAAATGCCTGTTGTCCTTTACGTTGTGTGCAAATTTCATGATGAATGGACCAAACGATAGAGCCCAAAATTACGTGGACAAAATGTCTGGTTCCATTGACTTACGTCAAAAGTAAAGTATGTTTTTTCCTTCTTCTGTAAAGGATAGAGGTTTTGTTATAACATATTATATATAATATAATAATATATATAATAATTGTTATAATATATAATGTTATAATATGTAAAATTCTTAGAGTTTCAGAACATACTGTTCACTCTTCAGTATATATATATATATATATATATATATATATATATATATATATATATATATATACTGAAGAGTGAACAGTATGTTTCGGCTCAATAAAAGTCATAAAAGTACATACAGTATTTTACAGTATATACAATTTTTTTTCTCCCACAGTTACCTTCAAGCTGTACGACCAGAATGGAAATGGACTGCTTGAGAGCACGGTAAGATTATTTTATCATTTTTCACTGTATTAATTTTTCTGTATTCAGTGATCTGTGCTGTACAAATTACTTTTGAATATTTGGCTCATTAGGAAGTTGACAAGATCATCACTCAGATGATGCGGGCTGCAGAATATCTGGGATGGGACGTGACGGAACTCAAGCCAGTAAGTTTCTGAACAGGCTTTTAGTGTTCTTTTGTTGTACACTGCACCCATAAAGTACATTTTACAGGCAGAGGCATTTCACTCCTTATAATATGACGTATCACACTGTATCGAATACACTGTTTCGTATTGTACTGTACCATAACAACACACCATGTTGCATCGTAAAGTATTGTGTATCATAATGTATCATCTAATATTATAACATATAATATTGAATCATATTGTAATGTAACATATTGCATCATAACATATCATATAGCATCATAATGTATTGCATTGTATCATAACACATCACAGTGTATTGTATCATAACATATCCTATTGCATTGTAATGTATCTTAACATATAGCGTATTATTATATTGTAGCATTTTCATAATACATTGTATTTTAACACATAAAACAGAAAATATAGCCTGTGCAAAAGTTTGTGTTTTAGATTTTCTGTTCCATTTGTTCCTAAATGTAAAACTCAACAAATAAATAGAAATCTAGGAATGAACAATAGAAAAAATAGAAATAGAAAAATGCCATATTTGAATGTGGAGGATGTGTTAACATATTTTTCAACACAACATATAATTTGACCAGGGGCATCTAAACTTTTGCCTAGGACTGTATACAGAAGTATAGACATAAAGACATAAATAAACAGCAATGTGGACACTTTTAAAATAAAATCAGTTGTATTCTGAGTGCTCATAATACAGAACAACTGATTTGGTCAGGCACTTCAGGAGATGATGGCGGCCATAGACGCAGACAGCAACGGTACGGTTACTCAGGAGGAATGGATCCAGGGTGGCATGAACAACGTACCCCTCCTGGTGCTGCTTGGACTCCAGGCAAGCCCTCCACTTCCGTTATTCACACGATTATTACTGATGCTTTGTGTTGTATTGGTCAGCTGGGTCCAAACGTCTGAGGGCACTAGTCAAAGTGCTTCTGTTTTGAGTTTTTTTTTCTAATGCAAAAATTTGTCCTTGCAAATTATATGATCAGCATAACAATTAGATTGAAAAGTAGAGTTTGGAGTATGTGCATGAATTCCCCCCTTTTGCTTTAAAGGCCCGTTTTCTATGTTTTTTTTTTGTATTTTATTAGGTCCACATATGAGTTTATTCACCAAAAAAGTTGTACTTCAGTTTTACATTACCATTTTAAAACCTCTCTTAATTGCTAGAATTAAACAGGCTGTTTTTGTTACTGTTCCTTTAAGACTAATTTAAGTATAGGTATGTAAATAAGATCTGTCCTGACTAGCTACCCTGTATTCAAAATGACTTTAATAACGGTGTGCACTTGAGCTGGCATGTAATCCACAAGTTTTTCATGGTCCATCTCACTAATTTGCTTAAATTTGTACAGATAAATAGTGCATAATCTTTAATAGTTCTTCTTAGTTTCACTTGTCATAACTTTTTTTTGTTTTAAAGTTTTCTAATGTTTGTTTCCAGGTTTAAATGAAAACAAAAAAATCTCAGACTCAGACGTTTGGACCACACTGTCTGTCGCCTTTTAACACTGTTTACTGTGTTTTTTTTTAGATGGCAGATAGAGATGGTCAGCATGTTTGGAGGATGAAACACTTCAATAGGCCCACATACTGCTTCGTCTGTCAGAACATGCTGTTGGGCCTCCGCAAACAGGGCCTGTCCTGCAACGGTGAGTTCAGCTGGTACTTTTCTGAGGCTTCAGGACCAACAAGGGGTGCATGATATGAAACAAATATAATTTTGTGATTCAGAAGATTTCTTCACAATATGCAATATATATATCACGATATTAAAGGGGAATGCCACTGATTTTTCAAAATGTCTGCATAATTAAACGGTTTAGCTGTAAACAAAGTAATTCAGAGTGATTTGGTGTGAAATGCTCCGTTGTAGAGAAACTCACAGTCAGAATTGTTCACAGTGGCGGTGATAGGAACCAGGTGCCCACCCCTAAAAGCTCCCTCACACTGTAGTGGAAAATCTGAATAATAATAATAATAAAAAAAAATAATAATATTATTTCAGATTTTCCACTGTTTTCCCATTATCAACGTTCCATATTAAACTCAGAAGACTCATATAGGTTCACTGGTGGTTTTGGATAGTAAATAAAATGTCTGTATTTGTGTTGTAGTCATGGTGACCCCTGGTTTCTGTCACCACCACTGTAAACACCACTCTCTGTTTACATCTCAAACACTGAACTATGCAGAATTATTTTATTAAATGGTGAAATTGCCCTTTAAGTTTTTCTGGGGTTGGCTAACATGTTTGGAACAGGCACAGTGCATGAGCAGTAGTGTCTGAAAAAATCCTCTAAATTACTATACTGTAAGTAGGGGTGGGCGATACAGCAAAAATACACCATCAAAATACCTAAAGAGAAAAAAGAGGCAGTAATGTCACATTAATAAACATTATCAAAAACCATCAGTCCAATGATTTTATTTAAAGTTTAACATGCACTGCACTATTGAAACAGGCCTATTTAGGCTCTTGCGTCTTCCCACAGGCAGTCAAATGCATAAACCCCCTGCCCTTAAAACTAAGACTGAGACAAAGACTGAGTTATTTTTCATCTGGCTCTAGATATCATTTCATTTTGCACTAGTATGTTTGTATACACTCATTGTGTTTATCTTTATGTCGTTGGCCTTATTAATCTTTATTTTCTTTTTTCTTTTTTATTTATGTTCTTGGTGTCAATTTAAGAGTTGCTAAATGGTTTTTCATTGTTTTAAACAATGGCAATAAAGATCTATCAATCTATGATGATGATAAATGCATATTGTCCACCACAACTGCAACTACCATTTTTCAATATAATAAGGAACAGGAACAGGAGAAAAAACATCAAACACTTGACAAAAAATAAATAAGATGATAGCGGAATAGGCTAACATCCAAGGAGCTACTTATCACTCGGCAGTTTTGGACTCTGCTCTGAATTAAAATTGCTTTAAATCTCTCTTTTATATGAAACATATCATTGACCAGTATCTAAATATATTGACAGAACCTGCACTGTAGCTGCGGTGCAGGTGAGCTTAACAAAGTGACAACTGATTATTCATGAATATACTTTATTTCTACTGTTTGTTGCAATAATAAAACCAACAAGGAGTTATCCTGTATAAGCAGTGCTTATGCAAGACTGCAGCTGCATGTTTGGCCACCAGAGGGAACATTACAGTGTTTTCCATTCAGTTTGTGTTGAGAGGGCAATGTGTGTTGCTAAAATCAAAATGGGCTGTAATATAAGCTATATAAGTTTTATGCATGCATTTCAATGAAAAATCATTTTTCTGTGGCTTTGATTATGCATGAATGCATTCCCTGAATCATTCACTGAATTAAACCATTCAAGATTACAGATATTGTTTCCCAGATAGAGTAGAGATGCAGACTTGCTTTCCATGAATGGTTTGATTAGGATGAGTAATGATAAACTAGAACTACTATGCTAATTTGTCCTGGATGGCTTGTTGCACATCTCATCTTTCAGAGGGCTGATTTAGCAGGCTAGCTGCCAGCATACTTCAGCAATGCTGAGTTTGTTTAGGACAGATGAGATCATCTAGTCTTATGACAGCTGATATTGTAAATATTAAACATAACACCCACATTATCATTGCAAGCAGGATAATAGGAAGATAGAATGACTGATGTGCATTAATTAAATGTGCTTTAATCTTATTCTGAATGTTTTTTTTCTCTTTTTCTGCACCTTTCAGTTTGCAAATGTACTGTTCACAGCCACTGTGCCAACAAAAACCCTCCGCTCTGCGCTGCCACGTTCGTCAAATCCAAAGATGAATTAGGGGTGAGTCATAGAGAACACACATTTTACAGTGATTTATCTTTTACTGTAAATCTGGGCCTTAATGTTTTCATCAATAGCAATTCACACTGGAGCTACAAGGCTAATATAGCTAAAAAGCAATGGAAGCTTAGGAACTTAAATGATCAGGACCCTCACAGGACCACCACAGAGCAGGTATTATTTGGGTGGTGTGTTAGTGTGTGTTGCACTGGTGTGAGTGGATCAGACACAGCAGTGCTGCTGTGTCTGATCCACTCGCACCAGCGCAACACACACTAACACACCACCACCATGTCAGTGTCACTGCACTGTGCTGAGAATGACCCACCATTGAAGAATGGAGTAACAAAGTATGCAGAGAAACAGATGGACTACAGTCTGTAACTGTAGAACTACAAAGTGCTCCTATATGGTCAGTGGAGCAAAGAGTGTAGATACAGGGAGATGTACTTAATGTTATTGCTGATTGGTGTAAACCCCATCGGTTAGCATGGTGTTAACTGCATGCCTAAATACACTCTCACCTCAAACCATCTGTAGTTGTTAATCAATCTGTAATAGATTTGATTATGTAGTTTTTTTCAAAGCCTAATGCACATATGGCTGCACTCATCAACTGAATTCTGCATTAATGCACCAAAGTATTAAATAACACTGAATCGGGTCCAGTCTGTCATACAGTCATAGCCATTTCTTGCCATAACAGAATAGGCCTACCAGTAGAGGTGGACATTCTGACCATATTTTATTGTTATTGTGATAAATTGTGTTATTTTGATAAACGATATGTCTTTCTGAGCGTATCATGGAAATCGTCAGTACTCAAAGACCTACTGCATGCTTCTTACAAAGAAATCATTATCAGGCCTGTTTAATTGGATTTAGTGTGAAATGCTGAATAATAATCACTGTTCATAGTTAAGAAACAGCCCAGCATAGAGTGCCAGAAACTACATAATCAAGTCTACTCAGCACACTGGTAATTGGAGGATATAAGCTTCCATTACTTCATTAGCTCCAGTACAAAACCCAGAAAGCAATCTTCAGACACCAAACTAAAACCGACATTTGAGGTAAGAGGGCAAAACTGTGTACATTTGATTGTTTTGTTGCTTTAACCCTGAACCATTTTGTCCAAATAAGCACTAATGAATATTTATACATTATTTCTGAGTGACTTTTTATATTGTGCATCTCAGATTGCAGTGCATGACTGGGTCAGTGCAGACTGTGACTCCAACAAGTGTGAGATCTGCCATAAAAAGATCAAGGCGCTGGCAGGAAAGCGCTGTGTGTGGTGCCACCTGACTGTGAGTGGGATGTACAGTGTGTGTGGTTTTTAACTTTTGGATACATGACCCTTCAATTGCTTTGTCAAGGCTGTACAATGCAAAGCTTGCTGATACCTGTAGGAAGTGAACTCTTTTGCTGCAGCCAACACTGTGGGTTTCCTCTCTCTCAATGAGGCACAAAACCCTATTTGATAAGTAATAGCATTCACTATGTGGGGAATCTGAATTACTGTGGAGGTCCTGCACTTTGTAAACTTTTAGGGATTTGTAGACCTTTCTGGTGGAAATGTATTATTGCATGCAACGTGCGGAAGAACATTTTTGTAGCGTGGGTTGTGCTTTGGTCCTCTTCCCTGAGTGGATGAATTTGATGATTGAAAGAGAATTCAAAGAGAACTCAGTCAAAACTTGGTGAAGGATGCATTTTCTGAGGATGTGATTGAATTACTACTACTACTTCCACTATTTTCATCATGATTATCTTCATCAGTATAATGTTGGGTTTTTTTTTTGCATTTGAGGCAAGTTTTAGAAGGCGACTCGCAGCAGCGCAAACTCACCATATTTTAGCCTGTTTTTTTCTCCTAACTCAGTAATGACACCTCTTTCAGTTTTAACAAAACGGTTTTTACATAGTGCAGCTTTAATTGTCTTTACATTTAACAAAATGAGCATAAAAACCTAAATCTTTTGATTCACAGTTAAAATGACAAACTGTTTCACTCATTAGGATTAATACTACTAATAATAGTATTATTTTGTTTTTATCTCAGTGCGACCATATTTTAATTAGTCATACAACACTTGTAACCTTTCTAGCAGCAGTGCTAATTGCTCAAAATATTTATGTCTCTTTTGATTTTCAGTGCCACATCGAATGTGTGTCTGTAGGGTCGTTTAACTGTGACTGTGGGCCTCTGAAAGAACATATCCTTCCACCGTGGGCCATATGTTCCATGAGCAAGGTATCTCAGAGCATTTCTAACCAAAGCAGACCAGTGGCCACTGATCAACTTACCTATCCACCCTCTACACCCTCAATTGTGTTCTTGCATAGCTACTGTTGTGAGGTTGGACAAGCTTCACAGAACATTAGGAAAAATCCCGTTCAATCTAATGAGAAACTGTAGAACAGACTCAGTTTATGTCATAATACCTACATTAAGAGCCAGTTATTCATTCAACCTAATGAGAAACTGTAGGATAGACTCAGTTTATATCACAATACCTACATTTAGAGCCAGTCATTCAATCAATCTAATGAGAAACTGTAGAACAGATTCAATTTCCAGACATATTTTGCTTCAGACATTGACTTTTGTGATGAGGCTGCAGATAATGTTTCCTTCTGATGACTTTTCTGTACAGATCATGCGTGTGCAAGCAATGCTTTACAGTAGAATGGTACACCACTTCTGTGTCAGCTAAACATTCCTGCCGGTCCTTTGCTGTCATGTGGGGGTTCGGCTTTGCCTTGCCGTGCCTTTGACAGGATACAAGTAGTTCTGAGAGTTTTCTTCCAGATCTTGCTTTGACTTCCACAGTTCCCCTTAACTGCCATTTCTTAATGACATTTCAGACGGTGGAAATTATGAGTTGGGAGCACCTGATATCTTTTTATAGCCTTCTCCTGCTTTGTAGGCATCAGTTAGCTTCATTTTCAGCCTCAGTCTCAGCCAGCTTCTTAGAGGCGCCCATGATTGAGTGTTAGCACAAGGTTTGAAGAGTCAGAAAATTGATTGCACTCTGGAACTGCTGTCAGCTGAGAGTTCTTGACCCGCCTAACGAATACTAATGAGACAAGGACAAACATTTATCCCAAAAAACCTCACGAAAGAAAACATTTGTGGCCAGAGCCTGAATAGGTCAAATAAGTTGTAGATTTATTTTCACACATGCTGTCTGTCCTTATTGCAGAGGAATGGTGGCTCACACTGCCTGGAGGAAAGTGACCTGGTAAACATTACCCCCGATGGACACTTTCTACAGGTAGGAGCTCTAAATGCTCTACTGGACAACAGTGTATATTCTCAAAAGACTACATCATTTAAAGGAATGGTTAAAATGCTGAAAAAGCTATTTTTATGATTGTTGTTGAGGACGAGGCAGAAGTTGGCAGCTTCATATTGAAATTTTCCGTTCCACCTTAACTGCTGCAGCATTTAAGGTAGAGCCATTTTAAACTGTGCTCAGGAAAGAAGTGATTCTGATTATACTAAATGGCTGACCCCTCTTTTAGCTACTCTTTCAGAGTTTTTTCATTTTTATAGTTCATAGTGAGTCATACTGTGTTCTAAACTACATCAACTCGTCTGCGCAACCTGAAATAAGATGTGGATGAGGTTTGAGAGAAGTTTTGGACATGTATTTACAGAAATGGTTTGGGAGACAACATACTTCCAGTGTTTATTGGCAATGTTAGCCTCATCTCCAGTTCTAAACAAAAAAAGCAGAATTTGGACAACAAGAATGACTTAGCTGATCGAATTGGGGTATGTGGGAAATCATGTAAATTAGACTTTTGGACAAGATATTTCGGTAACACTTTCTATGAATGTTGCCTTTGTAAGCATCTATAAACACATTTATAACGTTATAATGTATTCATAAGGCATTATAAACTTGGTTATAAATATTTATAAAAAAGAATTAAACTGAATTACACTTTATAGCCATGTTTATTATACATTATGAATTGTTAATATAATGCATTATAAATAGTGTTAATAACATGTTATAATGTCAGTGCCAAAGAAGTCATTCCCAGCTTGGAGAATGTAAAGACAAATACCAAGCTAACGCTGGTGTACATTACCTTTCCCACATTGGGTAAAACACTGATGGCAGCACTAGTTTAAAATCTGACATTTGAAGCCTGTAATGTGCTTTATTGTGTATGTTTCAGTGTTTCAGTAAATCCTTCAGTAAATACTTCAACTTGAAGCCTCACTCTTAACACTGGAGGTGGCTTTAGTACAGTATGCTTCACTTTACTTGGAGCAGACAAATACGACTTATGAGCTCTTATAATTTGTTATGATCAATACTTAACTATGTTAACAATTCATAATGCATAATAAACATGGCTATAACGTATAGTGCATTTTTATAAATATTTATAGCTATGTTTATAATGTCTTATGAATGCATTATAACATGTTATGAATGTGTTTATAGAAGGTGACATTCATAGAAAGTGTTACCGATATTTATTTAGTCTACTTATCTCTCTCTCTCTCTCTCTCTGTTTGTAGATATTCCCTGTGCAAGGCATAAACCCTCTGCTGGTGTTTGTGAACCCCAAAAGTGGAGGGAAACAAGGGGAGAGGTTAGACCTGCTGAGATGTTTCCACTCACTGGCCACATTATTAGAAACACCTACCTTATACTTCCACTCACTGGCCATTTTATTAGAAACACCCAGCTTCTACTTACACATACTGGCCACCTTATAAGAAACACCTACCTTGCGCCTCCACACACTTGCCACATTACTAGAAACACCCACCTTACTTACCACATTATTAGAAACACCTACTCTGTACTTCCACTCAAAGGCCACTTTATTAGAAACACCTACCTTATAGCTCAGTAATGTAGTGTTCATTATTGGTCAGTTTCTGACCACAGGGCCACTCTTGTCTGGATATTTTTTGGTGGTGGTTCATTCTCAGCTCAGCAGTGGCAGTGACATGGTAGTGTGTGTGGTGCTGGTGTAAGTGAATCAGACACAGCAATGTTGCTGGGGTTTTTACAGACATCCGTGTCACTGCAAGGATAGAGTCACCCAAAAATATCCAACACCAACTGTGCATCAACGGATGAGCTACAGTCTCTAACTGTACATCAGCAAGGATGAGCTACAACAGAGGAGTTTCTGATAAAGTGGCCCATGAATGTATTGCTGTTCTCTTATTTGCAGGGTGTTGAGGAAGTTTCAGCACCTCCTGAATCCACGGCAAGTCTACAATCTCTCAAATGGAGGACCAAACCCAGGGTACTACTTTCTTTATAGATGGAAAAAACATAGTAAACCACCTTTCATGTATTTAATTTCCAGTTAAAACAGCCGTTAAGTACAATCTGTCAATTTTTCAGGAGATATTTCAGAGAAGATTAGATATAAGGTATATCTTGTATCACTTGTATATGGAAGGAGAAAATCATAGTGAAAATATATTTCCAAAAAAAGTTTCCAAAACCGGAGTTGAAAAAATCTGATAAACAGTCTTTAAAGCTTTCATCATTGAGAGAGAGGAGAAAATCAAGCTGCTTCAGAACTGAAAACATCCACAGGTGTTTCTGTCCATCCTTCCACTGTGAGAAGACAACTCAGCGCTATGGGTCTGAAAGGATGTGTAGCTGTCAAGAAGCCTCACTGAGAAAAGGAGACAGACACATCAAACAAAGAAGCTGAACAATGGACTGACCACCCCAGTCCAGAGTCCAGAGCTCAACATCATTGAATGTGTTTGGATTACTTCAGGAAATGATCAACCAACTTCTAAGACTGAACTGTGGAGGTGTGTCTGCAGATTTCTGTGAGAAACTGAAAGTGAGTCTCCTGAAAAGAATGGAAGCTGTAATAAAGGAAAAGAGTGGCACACTGAACACTCACACATCTGATATTAGATCTGGTTGTTTAGTTGTATATTTGGTAAGTTTTTTGTGTGATTTTCTTTTTTTTTTACTTTTTTGTACTTTGTTGCTGTTTAGGCTGGAAATTAAATCAATAAAGCGTCTCTGACTTTTGCACAGTACTGTGGACTGTAACTTTATATGCATTTTATGTTTTAGGCTCCACTTCTTCCGTAATCTTCAGAAATGCAGGATCTTGGTCTGTGGAGGAGACGGCACTGTTGGCTGGGTTCTAGATGCCATCGGTGAGATAACACAATAACACACATACATTCTTAAACATAAAGGTGCTAAAAAGGTTCTGGAGTGATGCCAAAGAAGAATCAACTTTGGTTTCATAAAATACACTTCAGTGGATGGTTCTTAGCATGTTAGCGTCTCTGTGTTAGCATGAAGAACCTTAATGGGTTCTTGGCTTGGACCTTTCATTGGTGTAGGAATTTTACATTATGCGGATGTTCTTAAAACTTTTAAAATGAAATCATTTGAAAGGTTCTTTAAGGAACCAAAAGTGTTTTTTGCATGGTAGGTTAGCGGTTGTCTAGATTAAGCTTAAGCCTGGACTAAATGGTGTTTTTAATGGTGAAACAACAATAACATTGCTGTTTAGTCCAAGTCTAAGCTTAAAGGGCCCACATCATGGAAACTGTTTTCCATATACATATACATATACATATACATGTTAACTGTTTTTGTGATGTCACCAAAATCAACACATCCACATATATCTGCCTATGCAGCATACAGCCCCGCTCATTCATACTGAATTTATGAGGAGGTCTGCCCAAATTGCTTTTTGAAGGAGGTACAATACAGTGCAGCCAATCAGGACAGAGCTCATTTACATATATCAGTCTTAAAGGTGCAGTAGCAAAAATAGACTGTTTAATTCAAAGGGATAAAGAGAGGTTGGAAAGCAAGGTGGTCATATAAAAAATGAAATTTAAGTACATGAAGCTGCACAAATGTTGACACTGGAGCAGAACTAAAGTTCAAGAAAAATTCAGGAGATGGACCCTTTAATTTAAGCCCTGGCTAGTTAAGTTCTCCTAACTGTCCTTGTTGCTGCTGCCCTAAGTCTTTAGACCAGGGATGTGGAACTGAAGGCCAGAGTCCAGCTCAATCTCATAATATCCCTGCTCTGGCATATCAACTGAACCTGGTGAGTTGAGTAAGGTGTGCTTGAGGAGGCAAATCACCAAACAGAGCAGATATATGTCCCTCCAGGACTGGAGTTCCCCAGCCCTGCTCTAGACCAATGAGAGAACATTACAGTATGATGTATAATGCATTTGAATGCTCCCTTGCTCATAGTATATAATAATCTTTTTCCTCCCACACAAATGCGATTCACTTTCTAGTACTATTTTTTCCACAGATAGAACAGATATGGCAGTAAACCCTCCTGTGGCCATCCTGCCGCTTGGCACGGGTAATGACCTGGCCAGGTGCCTCCGCTGGGGAGGAGGTAAGTTGAGGATTTATTATAGTACAACACAACCAACAGTGGTCATTTTTAGCAGGATGAAAATTCCTGTAAGACTCAAAGCCTTCAGTATTTCTATTATTACCCATTTCAGTCCAGAAGACAGTGATCTACTATTGACTTAATTTTGTGCCAAAAGTTTAAAATGGACTTGGACTTGTGGTTGGAAACTCAACTTAAACTCGCACTCCAAGGACTCAAGACTCGACTCAGACTCACATTTCAGAGACTAGAGACTATTTTTGGACTTGCACTCCAGGGACTAGAGACTATTTTCGGACTTGCACTCCAGAGACTAGAGATTCAACTCAAACTCACACTCCAGAGACTCTAACTTGCACTCCAGAGACGAGAGACTATTTTTGGACTTGCACTCCAGAGACTATTTTCGGACTTGCACTTCAGGGACTAGAGACTCTTTTCGGACTTGCACTCCAGAGACTAGAGACTCTTTTCGGACTTGCACTCCAGAGACTAGAGACTATTTTTGGACTTGCACTTCAGAGACTAGAGACTATTTTCGGACTTGCACTCCAGAGACTAGAGACTATTTTCGGACTTGCACTCCCGAGACTAGAGACTATTTTTGGATTTGCACTTCAGAGACTAGAGACTATTTTTGGATTTGCACTTCAGAGACTAGAGATTCAACTCGAACTCACACTCCAGAGACTCTGACTTGCACTCCAGAAACTCGACTCGGATTCACATTTGAGTGACTAGAGAGTCTTTTCAGACTTGCAATCCAGAGACTTGAGATTCGACTAGGACTTGCATCCCAGTGACTTGAAACTCGACTCACTCACACTCCAGAGACTAGAGACTCTTTTCGGACTCAAACTCCAAAGACCAAAGACTGTTTGCAACTGCTTAATGGAGTCTTTTAACGTACAATGTTCATTACAGAAAACTCAAACATAAAAATCCTGCCTGTTCCTTTTTCATTGTTTATGATTATCAGTGTTTGTTTTTTGGTAGGATATGAAGGATCTGATTTGACAGAATTTCTCAGAGAGATTGAGGAGAGTAGCTTAGTGAAGATGGACCGCTGGAGAGTGCAGGTGGTTCCAAATGATGAGAATGAAGTTGGAGATCCCATGCCTAGTGAGATCATCAACAACTACTTCTCCATTGGTGTGGTACGTTCCTTAGGACAATCTGGGTCCTGAGAACACACTGATTGAAACAGCAGGCTGGTAGGGATGACTCGATTCAATTTGAGATATCGATATATCGAGATATCAGATTTGATTAATGCATACTTCAGTGGTTAAGTGTTGGCTAAGTTAAGCTCAATCCAATTCCAGTCCTTTGTTAAGGTTCTATTTCTTATTACTGTACCCTGTAAGGCAGTTTACTACCTTTAATTCGGAGAGTGTATCGTAAACAGACAATGTCCATGATGATCGTAACTATTTCAGTGCAGTATCAAAAAAAGAAGGGTGTATTGGAATTTATAACTGCATCGCAGAGACATTTAGAAAGTAAAAAGATGAGACTTCAGCTCAGTATGCAGAAAACAAAGGTTAGGACAACCGGAAAGACCACTAACTTTACCATTGTTGGTGAAGATGAAGAAGTGATGGACAACTTTTGTCTAATTGGATCCATTTTTAACAACAAAAATCCAACAGTAAAGAAATTCGACACTGATCAGCAACGGCAGAACGAGGATAAAGGAGCTGGAAAAGATCTTCAATTCTAATTATGTTTTAACAAACAATCCGAATTGTCCACGCAGTGGTGTTTTCTATGAATATCAAAGCTGGACAATAAAAACACAGACTTTTTAAAAAACCCTGGGCAACAAAGACAACAAACAAATGGATGCTTGACCAAATCACCTCAAACTGAAGCTCTTATTTCAGAAGTCTTATCATTTAATAGACTAAATTCTTGTTTTTATTCATTTTATTTATACAGGATGTCACCAGCTCTATGTGGGAATGAGATAATTAAGTATTGGCCACAACTTAGTAAGGCATGGGAATGTGATCATGCCGTATTAAGCTGTGATCAAGTCGTGGCCACGCATTAGGATCTCGTCCCCATGCCTTACTAAGTCATGCCACTGACTTAATTATCTCGTTCCCACACCTTACGAAGTTGTGGTCACCCATTAATTTTATTAATACAGGATGTCACCAGCAGGGCTCTGTATTCCCCTGTAATCTTCCAACTAAACATAATGACTTTAGCCCTGCCTCTAAAGTATCTTTTGATTTTTGATGACATCACCATGCACCAGCACGCGGGGCAACACCCCCACCAATCATTGAGAGAAAATGCTCAGTTAGCTCAGAGACCCTCGCTGATACCGTATTTCACTCACAAATATGCCACAGTACATAAAGAAACAGAGATTATGATTTTACATTCATGCTTTAAGGACACACTGTGTTGTTTTTAACACATCTGTTTTGAGAGAGTACCTTATACCATAGGGAGTAGTTGTTTGAGTAGCATGTTTTAATTTTGTAAATGCATTTATGATGCCTCTGCTTACAGGATGCGTCTATAGCCCACCGGTTCCACACCATGAGGGAAAAACACCCACAGAAATTCAACAGCAGGTATCAGCAGGGCAATCAAAGTGGGTCAAAGTAGAACTGTCTTCTCTGCTTATGTTTGATTTCTTTATCTCTAAACAGGGGTGTTGTTAGGGTAATTTTAGGAGGCTTGAGCCCTTCCTAAACATTAGTTAGCCACCTCAAATACACTATTTAGTATGCAGATACTTTTCATTTTGTTATGTAATATATATCCAGTACATATATCCACTTCTAATTTACACATACAATGTTCTTTGAAGTATAAGTATGAAGAAAAATAGACATTCATAAGCATGAACAAAGATGTTTAGGTAGCAAAACTGATACAAGTAGTCAGACTATTAATAATGTTTAGTGCTTTATTGCAAAGTTGTTGTTGGCAATTACATTGTCGAGACGTCTATGTCTTTCCAGTCAGGAGATTGGCTAGACCACCTTTTTTTAGAAACCAGCATTGAGTTATTTTGTCTGTATGTAATGCTCCAGTACTGTTTGCATAAAATGCAGCTTCATATCGTGGTGCTCCCACCATCATGCTTCACTGTGGGGATGATGTTCTTGGGGTCATACAGGCAACTCTTCTTTCTCCAAACATGATGAGCTGAATTACAGAGTTATGATCTGTGTTTGTGTTTTGTTACAGAGCTAAAAATAAGCTTTGGTATTTTGAGCTTGCCACTTCTGAGACCATTTCAGCTTCCTGCAAGAATCTCAAAGAATGCCTCACTATTCAAGTAAAAGCCTCTAATTTGGATTTATTGTACTGTTCTTGTTTAACTGTTTAACCTTTACATGTCTAGAGTTACTATTGTCATTTTAATGTATTATTCAGTTTACATTATGTACATTACTTATGTCTGTATACACAAACACACACATATGTATGTATATATGTGTGTATGTTTATGTTTTGATGACAGAAATGACACAAACATGCAAAACATATAAAGGATGTTTTTCTTTCTGCAAAACAAGACGTATTATAGATTGAAAGTTTAAAAGCTGCACTTTTCACACTAATTCTCTGCTTGTTCTGTGAGCTATGAGTCAATAATTAAACTGAATATACAGTACAGTGCAGAAGTCAGAGACTACAACATCACTGAATGTGTTTGGGATTACTTGGATGAAATGCTAAACTAACTTCTAAGATTGAACTTTGGAGGTTTGTCTGCTGTTTTTTTTGGGATGTAAAGAATGTAAGTCTGGACCCACTGACAGATTTAGTTTCTTCAGTTTTAAGGGGTTAAAAATGATTTTGTCTCAAACTGTTGTTTGTTTACTGCCTTGTTGTCATCTGTTGTCTCCAGTGTTGTGGTGTTCCACTGGATCTGAGCAGTCTTTCCCTGGAAGGAATCGCCGTCCTTAATATTCCCAGCATGCACGGAGGCTCCAACCTATGGGGAGAGACGAAGAAGACTGAGGAGGTCCATAAGGATGAAGGTCATTTCCCTCAGGTCATTACTGACAGTGAGGTCCTGGAAATGAGCTCTCAGGGTAGGTGATGTTCAAAATGTATAGATGTGGCATTAGAGGTCTGGTAACTGAAATATTGTATTTTGGGCCCCGTTTTTTAGCATCATTGTTTTCCTGTATCAGTGATTGTTTATGTGATAGATTTGTTTTTATTTGAGAGAATATGCCTTGTACAGCCATGTAGTGACCATTCATACCTCTAAAGTGGCTGGTAATCAGATTTCAAAGCTAATGGCTAAGAGCTGACTTTTGGTAAGCAAGTGACAGAAAATTAAAGATTATGAAATAGTGAACATTCTTATATAATGTGAAAAGGCTATTTATAAAATATAAATGCATGGATGATTCTACTGAACTGGTTCAAAGTTTAAAACACATTTGGGACTTTTAACTGATTTTGGACTTTAGACTGAAAAAATAGACTTCTGAATGTTTCAGAAGTGACTGTTTCAGTAGTGACAATTTTCGCACATTTTAAGTAGAACTCGAAAACACCAGTACATGACCAGCAAACACAGCTTTCAATAGCCATACACACATAAAATCATCATATTTTTCATTAAAACACAATACATTGAAAATCTGTGTTTCGGTAATGACAGTCATTAATGTTCCACACTGATTTTTAGACTTTTAGGATGCATTTACTTCAAAACAATGGTATCTAACTGCTCACCATGTGGCCATGAGGGACAGGGATCCAGTCTTACTTCCTGCTCTAAAATGCAGGGGCTAAAATAATAATAATAATAATAATAATAATAATAATAATAATCCGTGTAACAGATTGAATCAGTCTTAAATTAATTTTACTCTTCATTTTATCAGTGCATGATATCTTCAGTATGCTTTGCAACAGGACATGGACAGCTAATATGCAAATATTATAATTTGTTACTGTATTTGATTTCTTCTTGTGTTCTTTTTTTATTGTTGTTTTTGCTCACACTTTATTTGGATGGTTCTCTATAGATGATCTACAGATACATCATTAACAAAAATTTCTGGTGATAGTTGATAATCAGTAACATTAAGGTTAGGGTTATGTTGAGTATGTGATATTCTACACTCAAGTTTAAGTTCAGTTGCATTTAATAAATATTTAGTTGAATAATACTTAAAGATATACTAAGCATCTGCAAAGCATCTACAGTGGACCATCCAAATAAAGTGTTACCTGTTTTTTTTTTTGTGTAGATATGAGTGACAGACTTCTGGAAGTTGTTGGACTGGAGGGAGCCATTGAAATGGGCCAGATTTACACAGGCCTGAAGAGCAAAGGACATCGTCTGGCTCAAACAACACAGATTATGATCAAGTACGTGTAGAATAAGCTACAAATAAGAAAAATAAAAGCCTCTCATACAGCACTGTGCAAAATTCTTAGGCATAAGCATCTGCAAAAATGAGACGTAAAGCTATTTATCTGAGCAGTAGGCATTTATTTGTTTAAAAAATACAATAAATACAAATAAACAATGAAACCTTCCATTATGATTTGATGTGAGTTCTAAATCTCTCTTCAAGGAAGTCTAGTATTTACAGTTACCATCCAATACCTGGTTTATCTAATCAGTAACTTTATTAAATTAAATCAGGTGCTGGTGAACAAATCTATGCAATGGCTGGACCTATTTTACTAAAAACAAAACATTCTGACTATTGATTACTATATTTATGTTTATTTGTACTTAGTATAACATTAAATGGTGTTTGTACTGACAAAATCACACTTCAAACCCAGATAAATAGTTTTAAATAGTTTTCATAGCTGCCTACACTCTTAGCAAAAAGGGTTCAATATAGTACCAAAAAGGGGTTCTATGGCTTGTAACAATAGTGGAACCCTTTTTGGTTTTACAGCACTTTCTCCATCAATGTGAAGAACCATTTGATCATGCAAAGGGTTCTTTGAGTGTTCATGGTACTATATAGACTTTTGCACGGTACAGCATATTGGAAGTCAAACCTGATTATTAACCTCTATTATCTATTATCACTATTAAATTCTATGTATAATGAATGTCCAGAAGTTTGCAGACACCTGCTGATCCAGCGTTTCTTCTGAAATGAAGGGTTTTAATAGTGAGTTTGTGCTGCAGTAACAGCTTCTACTCTTCTGGAAAGGCTTAGATGTTGGACCATTGCTGTGAGGATTTGACTGAGCATTAGTGAGGTCAGGTACTGATGTTGGATGGTCAGTTCTGGATCACTCCAACTCATCCCAAAGGTATTGGATGGAGATCCATCACTCCAGAGAACACAGTTCCACTGCTCCACTACCAAATGCTGGGGGGCTTTATACCCCTCTAGCCCATGCTTGGCATTGGGCATGGTAAATCATGCGGCTGCTCCAGCGCATCCCATCCTATTGATCACTGCTGTTCTGAGGAGCAATGGATACTTATTAGAAGGAATGTCTGGATACTTCTACTCCGCTGCTACTTACAGGCTGCTTCTCTTTCAGGACAAAGAAAGGTTTGCCCATGCAGATTGACGGTGAGCCTTGGATGCAGCCTCCCTGCACAGTAAGTTTACTTAAATTTGAGTTGTTTACGGCAGTTAGTCTCAGTGTAGATACTAGGGGGTCTTAGATAGACATTTACATATTAAGGGTGTTCAATAATGATATTTAATAATTAGTTAAGTGAATTGCATTATTTTGTGTGGTTAATCGCAATCAACCACATTTGTCTTATTTGCTCAGATTTGAACCTGAAGAAAGTTCCCTTTCAAAAAGCAGTGCATTTTGTTAAAACTGTATGAGTGGACAAAATAAGCTTCATCAAAACATATTTACTGTGTGTATGAAATGCTCTGTTCTAGAGTGAGAATGGTGATAGGAACCAGACGTCCACCTCTAAAAGCTCCCTCACAGAAAGTTATTATATGAAATGGTTATGAATACACTGCCTCATGTCTGAGATATAGTTTCACTGTAGTTTTGAGGAGATCATAGTCTAAAATGTATTTTTTTAATTCATCCAATTTTGACTTATGTAGAATGCTTATGTAGCTTATGTAGAAATTGGTGTAGGTGGAATTCCCTTTTTATTTCATCTAATGTGCAAAACTGTAGTCACAATGTGCAGCTCTGCTTCTCAAATCATGCTGCAAAAACCAATGTATACATATATAAGGTATTGTGAAATTTGTGTATTGTTACACCCCTAATTCACAGTTCACCTCAAATGTTTGTATACGCTTCTAAATGTTCTATGCTGATTAATCAGTTCTTTTCTGTTATCTCTGTCGCTATAGATACACATTACGCATAAAAACCAGGCCAATATGCTGATGGCTCCTCCTGTCAAATCATCCGGATTCTTCCATCTCAAGTAAAAAACAATGCACAACAAAGGTAGCTTTTTTCAGTGTAATTACTTTCAGATGATGAGGACAAAGCTGAACTTACATGATAACAGCTTGACGTTTTAATGTTCTTGGTGGGAAACACTGCAATGTCAAATATTGTGTTCTTAATGTGCTATATAAAACTTAGATTAGATTAGACTGTAGGCTGGACCTATTTCACATTCCATTCCAGGTATTGAATTTTTACACTTTTGAAACACACACACACACACAGACACACACACACAGACACACACACACACACACACACACACACACAAATTTATATATACATATATAGCTATTAAATCCTTTGTTCCAAAATGTTAAATCCTTAAAATATTGTCGATCATTCTTTATTGTCTTCTCACCTTCTTTCTCTTCTGCTGCAGTGATGTTCATCTGTTACTCCTACTGAGCAAATATACTTGCTGTCCTTCTGTATTTGTTCTGTCAGAAGTCAATAAATGAAAGTTTGCTCTGAAATGTTCACCTGGATTACAATACAGTGTTGAGAGTCACAAAAGTGGTTAAACATTTTTTTTACACTGATTTACATATCTTCGCTGCCATGTCAAAACCCTGAATTTTTTTTTTTATCATTCAAGACCACTAGCTGTAGTTAAGTGAACATTTATTGACCGAATGAATGAATAGAACAGATCCAAAATTAGTTTGAAGAAAATCTATTTACAGTAATTTAAATTAAATTTAAGATTGCTTTTTCCTTGCTCCTATAAAGTTACTGTTTTGGACGTATGAGGTTTTGTTTGGACTGCAATGATACACTCAAGATTGGGCAAAATACTAGAAGTTGGGACTGTGCAGAATGTGAATAAAAATACAATGCAGTGATATGCAAATCGTGTAAACCATATTTTTAAAGGCAAATACCACAAAGACCACATATCAAATGTTGAAACTGAGAAATTTTATTGTTTTTTGAAAAATATATGCCCATTTTGAATTTATGGCAGCAACACGTTCCAAAAAAGTTAGGACGGGGGAATGTTTACCACTCTGTTTCATCACTTATGCTTTTATCAACACTCTGTTCATTCTTGTTTGATATAGGATTTCAGCTGCTCAACAGTTCGGGGTCTCCTTTTTTGTATTTTTCATTTCGGAATGCGCCAAATGTTATCAGTGGGTGACAGATCTGGACTGCAGGCAGGCCAGTTTGGTGCTCGGACTATTTTAAAATGGAGCAATGCTGTTGTAATACATGTAGAACGTGGTTTGGCATTGTCTTGCTGACATAATCAAGGCCTTCCCTGAAAAAGACGTTGTCTGGATGGCAGCATATGTTGCCAAAACATGTTTATATCGTTCAGCATTAATGGTGCCTTCACAGATGTGCATGTCTCCCATGGCATATGCATTAATGCCCCCATATACCATCATGAATACTAGCTTTTGAACTGTGCGCGGAATCATGGTGTCCATGATTTCCAAAAAGAATTTCAAATGTTGACTGGTCTGTCAGGACCAAGGGCTCTCCTCTTCAACCCCAGGCCTCCAACATAATATTATGAATAAAAAAGAAATCTTTTAATACTGGCAAAACACTTTTACTAATAACTGTGCTAAGTCTAAGTTCTCAAAAGAAGTCAAAAAGGAAAGAGTCTTCAGACGCTGAGTTTGTGGAAGAGGGAAAATGGCTTCTTCTTTATTTCAGCATCAGATAGCACAGGGTTTCGAGAGACCCAACTGCGCAAACAGTGTTCCAAACAACAGTTTATATACCATTTATCTGGGGTAATTTGATATCCCCCCGCCTTACTTCTCAAATTATGATATTAGCTCATTCTCTAATAGGTGCATCTCTTCGTCCATCAATTTGGCCATCGCATGTTGCTCTCACTCCTAAAAACTGTTTTCAACTGGTTTTTACCAGTCTGCTTTACCTTTCAAGGTCAACTTGTCCCTCTCTTTACTGGGTCAGTAAGTACACACAGACCTGACTGTAAAGCCAGGGGCCTTCCAGTGTCTAGAATCTCCTATGCAGACAGACTAAGGCCTACCCTTTGTGAGAGAATTAATATTCTCTGTCAGCAAATACTACCTGTTTGGTTATTGATTACAATATCTAATCTATTTGATTACTGATTAAGAGAATATTTATTCAAAAACTTTGTCAGGTCAGACCACAGGACACTTTTCCACTTCACCTCAGTCAATTTTAAATGACCTTGGGCCCCGAGAAGGTGGCAGCATTACTGGATCCTGTTTATATATGGTTTCTTCTTTGCATTTTAGAGTTTTAATTAGCATTTGTGGATGCAGCAACAAATTGTTTTCACAAACAGTGGTTTTCAGAAGTGTCCCTGATTTCCACTACAGAATCATGTCTGATTTTAAAGCAAATACTGTTTTTTGGCCTTGTCCCTTGCATACAGAGATTTCTCCAGATTGTCTGAATCTTTTAAGGATATTATTTACCGTAGATGATGAAAAGCAAAAGTTCTTTGCTATTTAATGTTGAAAAATCTTTGCTCTATTTGCCTGTGCAGTCTTTCACAGAGTGGTGAACTCCTCCCCATCTTTACTTCTGAAAGACTCAATCTCTCTGGGATGCTTTTTTACACCCACTCATGTTACTGACCTGTTGTCAATCAACCACAAGGTGTTTTTTTTAGCATTACACAATTTTACCAGCCTTTTGTTAAACTGTATCCACTTATACTGTTTTGTGTCTGTGCTGTTATCCGGTGTCGACCAGAGGAGGATGGGTTCCCCTATTTGAGTCTGGTTCCTCTCAAGGTTTCTTCCTCCTGTTGAGGGAGTTTTTCCTTGCCACTGTCGCCAAGGCTTGCTCACTGGGGGCGTGGACCCGGATGCTTTGTGACAACATCTGTTGTAAAAGGCGCTATATATAAATAAATTTGACTTGACTTGACTTGACTTTTGTTGACCCGGTCCCAACTTTTTTGGAGCGTATTGTTGGCATCAAATTCAAAATGGGCATATATTTTTCAAAAAACAATAAAATTTCTCAATTTTAACATTTGATATGTTGTCTTTGTACTATTTTCAGTAGTCGATAGGGTTTACCTGCTTAGACTGTGGCTTGTATTCACAGTCAGTGACGTATCTAGAACTTCCATAAAGTGATTGGTTGATTCTTCTGTCACTTCCTAGTTATGTTGGTAGTTAATCTAACATGTGAGGCCTTCAGTCCAGCTCCTGAACTCCTAACCCATGGGAGAGCTCACTTGGCTGCATCTGCCTAGATACCAGAGAGAAAACAATCCTCATTGGACAGTTTTCTGTTGCGCATTTTAAGACTTTAATCTTTTAGTTTCCAACCAGTGAAATAAGAGTATTACTGCAATATGTGTAGAGTTTAATTTTAATACAAGCATAATGGTTCTGTTAAATAAAAGAGCTAAACATTACAGACATGTACTTTCTTATTTCACAGAAATAATTAGACCCTTCGGATAAGTGATTTCTGCTACTTTAAGGTGCACCCACAGTAATACTGCAGTTTAAAGAAAAATATGTCCTGTCGATGTCTAAGCTGTGAGTCTTGACTTTGCGGTAGTCTGAGGCAGTCAGTGTGTACGCAGCCAAACAGATCTCTGAGCCAGGACGATCAGGACAGCTGCTGTTAATGGTATGAATTTACTGTAGCTCTCTTCGAAAAGTGCTGACAGGTCAGTGCAAACAATACCCACGTGGCAGTCATGCCCGGATGAGATCAAGTCTGCGGGCACCGCTGTTATCTATATCTCTACTCCGTTTTATCTCATCAGCGTAGTGGCTCTTCAGGGACCGAGCAGCTGACCGCCTTGGTTTAGAACTTCACCTTAAGAATCCTCTCCACTAAGGAAACTTCTATATGTGTGTTTGCAAGCGTGATTACATTGAATCTCTCCTGGGTTTCTCACCACACTTTAAAAATAACTCGATACCTCATTCCTAGCATGGAAATGCTCTCAGAAGAATTAAGAGGCAATTAGTTACTGGCTATAGTATCTGGGCACTTATATAAGACGAGTTCACAAACACTCAGGCAAGGGGTTTTCTTCTCTGCTGACAAACTGAGGAGAACAGATGACTGCCTGAGGGGGAAAAAGTCATATTTTTCTGTAGTGGCTAATATTAAAAATAATGTCGCTCTAGCCTGATAACATTTCTGAATGCACATTCGGAAAAATATAAATATGAAAAGTTAATTGTATTTTTCTACACAAAGTATTCGTAAAAGTAAATTTGTCAAAACGTTTCTCTAAAGTGAAGCTATAGAAGAACCACTTTTGTTTCCGCTACAACCTTTCGATTAGTGGTGGGAACCTCTATTCATATTATCATACTACTAGAACCCCTGGGGGCACTAGCAGAAATTAGCATTATCATAAAGGTGTGTTCCTTGAGTTTTGACATTTATGGCCTGAACTGAAGGCCATACTTGTTCAGCCTGTTTCAGAGTTTAAGGAAAGCTACAGTTGTCCATTTTATCTTGGCAAGGATGTCAATGTGGAGAGGGACACAGAGATATAACAGAGTCCTAGTTCATCTGATAACAGAGGAAACAAACATTGTATTTGATTACATTATTACAAACTATCCGAGTCAATTTCCATTCTACCAGCAGAACAGCCACTAGGGGTCTGGTTTAAGTCTTTTACTGTTACTGGTTTAGTCTGTTAATCTGTTAGCATGTTGAAAGGGGGCATGGCCTGGACATACCACTATTTTATAGCAAACAGAAACAGTAAAAACATAATCCAAACCAAAATGATGATTTGCTTAACCATAAATAGATCCAACATACAACAATACTGTTACATACATAAATATGTTTTTCTGAACATTTGAATTTGAATTTAAATAGAAATGAAAAATTCTTCATTTCCACTTCAATTCTTCAATATATACGTCACTGCATCCCAGTTCATGTCTAGATATGTAAAGATACAATATTTATATAAAAAGTTGGACACTCCTGCACTACAATGAGCAAATGCGATTCCATGACCACTCCGGTGCTAAGGCTACCCTTATACAGGGTTTATGAATAGTTTAAATTCATTTATCAATGATTTATTATGATTAGATCATAATTTTTAAGGATGATCATACATCAACCTTACAAAATATTCATATGCGGTTATAGCACACAAATCAAAAGAGCGACTGTGAGC